GCCCTTTGTCTCAGGCCCCCGAGTCACGATTGCACTCACCGTTGAACAACTACTCTTCGACCACAAATTCGCAGCATACTCAGCGCCGATCCATGCGAATTTCCAAGGTATCATACTTGAGCTGGACTCACACGGTGCATGTTTCAGCAAGCTTCACCATGGCCTGGCATGGGCGGGGGAGCAGGGTTCGTGGGGTCGGGCAAGGCTCATTCCGACGTGCTTTGCTGTTCGAGGTTTCTGCGCCCGGCAGAGCAGCAGCGGGCGAAGCGAACGAGGTGTTGGCTTTCGCGAGGCGAAAGAGCTGGCGGGAAGTCCACCTCGCAGCTCCAGAGAACATGCAGGGAAGGTGTGGGACACAGGGCTCCGCGGATCCTGTCCGCACGGGCTCCTCGTTCACTCCCCCCATCTCGTGCTGCTGAGACTGCGCTGCCCTCGAAGAGCCCTTGCAGGCAGGGGAGGCTCCAGCGCGCAGCATTCACCTCGGCAGTGTGCCCAACAGCGCCCTGCAGAGGGAGCTGCGCGAGCTGCGCCGCCTTGGAAGCAGTCGGCAGGGCACGGGCACTCTCCGAGACGAGCGCCAGGAGCAGTTTCCCGCGCGCGCGAGTTGTGCCCCTCTGCGCTCTCCCCCCTTGGCCCTCCGACGCACGGTGGCCGCGGCGGCGCAGGTGACGACCACCCTACCGTTCGGATGCAACTCCTGGGAGGTCAAATTCTGATTTTGCCCTGGTCCGAAATCCGAGTTGATCTGGCTCAATCCCGCTTAATCCAGCTTGATCCCGCTGAATCCCGCTTAGTCCGACTTAACCTCGCGTAATTCCGCTTAATCCAGCGCAAGAGCGCCCCAATGGGGCTTAATCTTCCCTCATCCTTCCGACGATAAGGGCGCCATCGAGGGCGCGAAGTTATTCGCGATTCGCGCTTCGCGGTTCGGCTCCGATTCCTCCTCATCCTCCTCTCCTCCCCTGGGAGAAGGCGCGAGAGCGCGAAGTGATTCGCACTTCGCGCTTCGCTCAGCGCGAAGCGCCAAGTTGGGAGCCCTTGCTAATCCCGCTCAATCCGGCGCAACAGCCCCCCCATGGGGCTTGCTCCTCCCCAATCCTTCCGACGAAGACCTCCCAGCGGTTGCCTCCTGCGGATTCGTGTTGTTGTTGTTGTTGTTGTTGTTGTTGTTGTTGTTGTTGTTGTTGTTGCTGTTGTGGTTGTTGCTGTTGTTGTTGTTGTTGTTGATGTGGGCTGCTGCTGTTGTTGTTGTTGTTGCTGCTGCTGTTGTTGTTGTTGTTGTTGTTGTTGTTGTTGTTGTTGTGGTTGTGGTTGTTGTTGTTGTCGCTATTGTTTTTGTTGTTGTTGTTGTTGTTGTGGTTGTTGTTGTTGTTGTTGTTGAATATTATTACTTCTAAAGAAATATTATTGTTGAGACCCCTGGTGCGCGACCCCCCTCCAAAACCTAGGCCGCAGCCTCATTTCCTTCATTTTCTAGCGAAAGCTTCAGAAAAGTGGATTGTCACCGGATCCGGTTGTTTTGTTGTAATCCGTTTTCCCTTGCAAAAAACACTATAAAATGAAAATTCTTGTTCTTACTTGATCAAATTGCAAGAATCCCTTGCAAAAAATAAGGTAAAGTGGACATTCGTGCGCGCAAGACGAAATCCTTCCAAAACCTTAGGTTTCGTAGCGATTTTAACATAAAAACATCAAAAACCCAATGGTTTTTTAAGAAAAAATTGTCAAAATGTCCTTCCGCGCGCGCTGTCCGAATCCCACAAAACCAATGGTTTTTCAACATTTATGTTACATGAGCTCGCGCGAGCTACTTTTTCTTGTTCTAACATAATCAAATTTCAATAATCCCTTGCAAAAAATAAGGTAAAGTGGACATTCGCGCGCGCAAGACGAAATCCTTCCAGAACCTTAGGTTTCGTAACGATTTCAACATAAAAACATCAAAAACCCAATGGTTTTTCAAAAAAAAATGTCCAAATTTCATCCCGCGCGCGCTGTCCGACTCCCACAAAACCAATGGTTTTTCAACATTTATGTTACATGAGCTCGCGCGAGCTACTTTTTCTTGTTCTAACATAATCAAATTTCAATACTCCCTTGCAAAAAAAAGTAAAGTGGACATTCGCGCGCGCAAGACCAACAAAAAACACGACGATCTCAGGAACTTGCCCCAAAAATGTGACCAACTCCGCTCTCTCTGTCTCTCTCTCTGTCTGCTCTCTGTCTCTCTCTCTGTCTGTCTGTGTCATGTATTGTATGTCACAATTGCAGGATGCTGGGCACACGCGCGCCCCGAATAAGTGACCAAGTTCTGTGGGTGTGTACCCCACGCCAGTGTAGTAGCCACGGTCGTCCGCACGCCACGAAGTGAAGTGTCCCAACGTCATAGGGCGGGAAGCTGGGTTTGGGTGGTCGCGAAGAGTCGTTTGGATATTTGGTAGAGCTTGAACTGCCCCCCCACGAAGTGGGGGTATTGTCTCGCGTCGCATGAAAACCCTGGCACTGGTGAGAACACTGAGCGTTCGGGTAAAATGATTGTTGTTGTTGTTGTTGTTGTTGTTGTGTGGGCTGCTGCGGTCCTCGGGCCTTCCCCTCGCTCGTTCCTTGTGCGCCCCGGCCCGCTGCGGTGCGCGCCCCGCCGCGCCTGGCCTGACCGACGCCCGGTCCGCCGGCGCCCGCGGACCAAGGCGGTGTCCCTCTACGGGGGGAATCTGCAAAAATAGTCGAACAATAGTCTTTGGAAGGAATGTTGAGCCTTTCACGAGCCTCTCGGCCACTTCGGATCTCCGCGGGGCGCTGGTGTCGACCTCCGCTGTCGTTGGCGCGATGCTGGTCTATCGCCCCCCCTCGCGGCGCGCTGCTCTGCGCGCCCCTGCAGCTCGAAGCGAATCTTCGCGAGGGCGCGTGTGCAGCTTCGAGAGGCTCGTAAAAATAGTCAAACAATAGACTATTTTTTTTAGTATTTGTTGACCATTTTGGAAGGAATATTTGTTGGCTACTTTTTGTTTTTCGTCGAACATCCCCCTGTAGGGGGACGCGCCCGACGTGACCCTCGGGGCCCTCGGCGGGCCCCCGGAGGGAGGAGGACCTCGTCGTATGGGGAAGGCCCCTCGGGGGTGGACAGACCTCCTATCCTGACACGTCGACTAAGAAATTGGCCGTTTTCGGTTCGCGAGGGGGCGTCGCGGCCGTCATTCTTGCGGGTCCGGGTCCGTCGACCTCGGTCCCAGGCCGTTCTCATTCAGGGGAGGTTTGCTAAAGGGAGGTTTGTCCACCGCCGAGATGCGGTCGGACGGCGCATCGACGGCACGGGCGCTCCGGAGTTGGCGGAGTCGGGGTTCTCGACTCGTCCGCCGGAAGCCTGCAGACCAGGAGAGAGAAAGGGGGCCGCTCCCACGCAGCGGACGCGTCGAGGCGTGCGGGGGGCTTGCGGGGCGACCGCCTCGCATGCACGCACGGGGTGGTGAGGCGGCTCTGCTGGACCAGGTAGCCGTCCTCCACGCATCTTTCCCTGGCAGCCTGAAAGTGCTCGCCTGTGCTCATGTGTTTCCTGCGCTAGGGGGGCATCGGTGCTCGGTGGTAGCTCGTGCAGCCCGTGGGTAGGGGATTCCTGTTCAGGTGCGGTTGCACCACTTTGAGTGCGAAGCCGGAGTTTCGTGGAGTATTTCCCAAGAGTTGAGCTGGTGACCCCACATCGCAAGACAGTTGGCCAAGTTGCGGACTGCGACGGCACGATGTTCAGGATTGACTTCGCCAGCTGGCGCAGCATTTGATACACATCGAGGCTGATGAAGAGTGATCGACTAGCGTTGCAATTCAATGGGGAAGCGACGTAGTTGCGCGCAGGCGAGGCGAATCCAACACTAGTATGAGGGTATCTCCCTGGGCATGGACACCACACTTGTTCAATGGAGCGGTCCGACTAAGCACCCACGTATTGTAGTATAGTGCGTTCGTCCATAGTTTCGATGTAGTGGAGAAGTGTGCCCATCTATTTTGTAGCATGCAGCCCATCAGCAGTAAGTCGGATGCCGTTGTCCTCCCGCGGCCGAGTGTCGTCACCACAGCGCGATCTGGACCGGGCTGCGAACTGGGCGCGATCGTGCACGGAAAATTAGACTGCGAAGGCCTTGCGGCCGGTGCCGTCGACCCTGAGGTTGGGGAGGAGGGCGCGGAGCATGGGGAGGAAGATGAGGAGGGGGACAGGAGGAAGAGGTGGATGAGGAGGAGTAGGAGCACAGGAGGGGAATGAATAGGAGGAGAGTGAGGCGAGCCGGGTCGCATGTACAGGTGGAGGGGTGGGGGGCACGAAGGAAGGGCAGGGGCGAGTAGCGCGATCGTGCACGGAACATTAGATTTGGTTGGCTCAGGCGGCGCTGCGTGTGTCGAAGAAGAGGACAGCACGGCCTGCACATAAGCTTTCGGAGTTCCGCGCTGGTTTCTTGCATCGGCGCTGGACCCCCTGGCGGCGCCTTCCGCGCCGCCCCTGGCGCGCTCCTCGGTTGATGGAGGGGTCATCAGTGCCGATCCAGGACGTTCGCGCGGACCTCTGACAGTTTCTGTTTATGCAGTCTTTTTTCTTTCCTCTGAAGCAGAAGCGATATCGTCGTGCTTTCATCCGGTTAGCTACGGCGGCCCTGCATATGGGCGAGATGTCAGTCGTCTGCTGGCCCTCGGAGGTGCCCAGAAATCCCCCGAGTTCCCCAAAAAGTCCCCGGATGTTCTGGGAATCTTCGAAATGTTCTGTAGAGACCCGAACACGGCCAAAGGCTAACACACGCACAACACGTTCGATCCACGACCCTCGATCTTCGAGGATCGAGTAGGAGGACCTCCCTCCTCCTCCTTCTCGTCCTCCTCCTCGTCCTCCTCCTCCTCCTTCTCCTCCTTCTCCTCCTCCTCCTCCTCCTCCGCTCCGCTCCCTCCCCCTTCTCGTTTCTCCCTCCTCGTCGTCCTCTTGTTCGTTGGGACGGGCTAGTTCCCGCCATCTTGCGCCCGAGGCGACAATCGCGACGCTGGACCGCATCAGCAAGGAGGAGTACTGGTGTGCCGACCTGGAGTGGTTTTGGGCCCAGCCGAGGAGGAAGAGGAGGGATACAAGGAGGAGGAGGAGTACGAGGAGGAGGAGGAGGACGAAAAGGAGGAGGAGGAGGGGGAGGAGGAAGAGGATGAGTAGAAGGCGGAGGGAGCGTCAGAGAGGGAGGAGGATGAGCAGGACGAGAGGAAACGCAGCATGCATCAGCGATGCTGCAAGCACCCTCACGTTGCGTAGCAGATTCAGTACATTATTTCACGCAGTGTGATTTGCACTTGTGAGTTCTCGCTAAGGCGAATAACTGCCCGAATTTTCGCCCCGAATTTCGGCCACGTTCGCCAGATATACGTTCTGCGGACGGTCGTGGTTTCTTTCGTTCGGCAGATTGTGTGCAACCACGCGCTTCGCAATGATACGAATTCGGGCCATATTTGTATCATTGTTTCTTCTCGCTCCTTCTCGTCTCCTCCCCTTCCTCCCCTTCCTCCTCCCTCTTCTCCACTCCGTCTCACCGATACGATCTTGGGTAATTTCGTATCGCACCGCGTTCGCACGATTTTGCTCGGTGGCCATTCTCCTAAGAGTAGTGGCGTGTGCCAGCGCGCTGAGTGTTGGCTCCGTTTGTGCAGCTCTCCTCCCTCCCTCCTTTCTGTTCTTCCTTCCTCGTCGTCTTCCCCTTCTGCCCGAGCCTGGGGCCGTTGTAGGTGTTGCTGCCTTCGCTGGTGTTATCGTGCAGTCTCTCCCCACGCCCTGCGGGGTGATCTCCTCCATCCCTTCGCTTTGCGCTGGGGGGGGGAAGAACAGAAAACCCCCTCTCGTCCCAGAAGGAGGGGGATGATGATGATGATGATGATGATGATGATGATGATGATGATGATGATGACGATGATGATGATGATGATGATGATGATGATGATGATGATGATGATGATGATGATGATGATGATGATGATGATGATGATGATGATGATGATGGTGATGATGATGATGATGATGATGATGATGATGATGCTGATGATGATGATGATGTTGATGTTGATGTTGATGATGCTGATGATGATGATGATGGTGATGACGATGATGATGATGATGACGATGATGATGATGATGCTGATCCTGATGCTGATCAGGATGGTGCTGATGATGCTGATGATGATGCTGATGCTGATGCTGATGATGCTGATGCTGATCATGATGCTGATGATGATGATGCTGATGGTGATGCTGCTGATGATGATGACGATGCTGCTGCTGATGATGATGATGATGATGATGATGATGAGGAGGAGGAGGAGGAGGAGGAGGAGGCGGAGGAGGAGGAGGAGGAGGAGGAGGAGGAGTAGAAGGCAGTTCCCCCCCCACGAGTGCGTACAAGCCGTCCCGTGCACTGCAACCAGCGCCCTTCGGAGAGGCGATCGCACCGTGGGCCTGCGGCGCCGACGAGGGCCCTGTTCGAAGGAAGCGCTGCCGTGCACCCTTCTTGGCAACTTGCAGTGGAGAGACCCACGCCATCGAAGAGCAGTCCTCCTCCTGCTCCTCCTTCTCCTCCTCTTCCTCCTCCTCCTCCACCTCCTCTTCCGATCGTTGAAGCTTGAGCGATCCACGGGGTGCCGGGAGCCTGGTTCCTGGCACCCCTGTGGATCGAAAGGGAACCAAAAGGGAACGGACATGGAACCAAAAGGGAACGACCTCAAACGCCTGAGCGTTTCAAGAAGGCTCCCAGGAATGGCTGCCTAGGAACCAGCGCCCAGGGCGCCACGACGCGAGTGCGCCGTGGGCCTCTCCTTCGCCTCGCGGGCATTCGCCGCAGACCTGGGCGCAGCCAGGGCCTCAATTGGGGTGCAACTCCTGGGAGGTGAAATTCAGCGTCGGCGGTGGCATATGCATGGTCGAAAACCGGCACAGTCGCAGGCCCAGAGGTTGACACCAACACCAAGATCGGCGGTGTGCCTCCACCGAGGGAAGACGATCCCGATCTCGGTGATGGCGGTGATTTTCTGGTTTCCAAGATGGCCGACATCTTACCACCGACACCGAAATCGAGGATCATCTTCCCCCTGTGGAGGCAGCCCCCTGTGCTGGTGTTGGTGCCAACTTCCAGGCCTCCAGTGTTTGCCTCCAGGGCGCCCTGGGTTTCTTGGGTCTCGATGGTTTTGCCGTGGGCGTCCTGGGGTCTCAGGGTTGGGCTTCTCTCAGGAGGAGAAAAAACACACAGACACAATTCATCGTCGATTCCCCCGAAAATATGGGAAAATATGGGCGGTGGGGGGAAGCCGGAAACCTAGACCTTTTATTTGTGTGTATTTGTTTGTGTTTCCCAGGGCCCCTTCATTCTTGTTGAAGGTTTCTTGTGGGCTGGCCTCCACTGTGCATGGCGTGCGACAGGGCAGGATGATAACGTTCCCCGCGGTTCCCAGCGAGAGCCCCGGATTGAGGAGGAACTGCCCCCCTCCGTGTAACCGTTGCACAAGTTTACGCTTGTCGTCGCTGAGGTTGAGGACATCTCACGCGAGAGCCCCGTCTTGAAATGGAGCTCTTTTCCATCCGTTCAGCTGTGCGACATCATATGTTCAAGCTTCTGGTCGCTGAGGATGCCCCAAGCGACACCCCCATTCCGAGAAGGAGCCATCCTCCATCCTTGCAGATTGCTTCGACATTTCAGGCGGATGCGCGGGGCGCTGAGGCGAGAGACACATTTTGAGAAGGAACCGCCTTCCACCCCGATAACTGTGGTAAGATTTTGAAACGCATGCGCGCGGCGCTAAGGCGAGAGTCCCATCGTGAAAAGGAGCCGACCTCCATCCTGGTAGCCGTTGGACACTTTTTGAAGGAACCGCCTTCCATCATAGTAATTGTTGCAAGCTTTAAAGCGACTGCGCGCTTTGCTCAGGGGAAAGCCCCATTTTGAAAAGGTAGGCCTCCATCGGTGTAGCTGTTGCACAGTTGTGTGGGAAACTGCTGGGGGAAGTGTCAGGCGGGATCCCCATTTTGAAGGCGAGTCTGCCTCCATCCTTGTAGCTCCTCTGCTAAAGACCGATGGGCGGTGTGCCAAGGCGATGGCCCAATTTTGAAAACGCTCGGCCTGCACCCGCGTAATTGTTGCAAGCTTCGAAGACGAATGTGCGTGGCGTTGTGGCCAGAGCCCCACCCGACATGGAGCCAGCCTCCGTCCGTGCACCTGTAAGAAGTATTAAGCTTCGGGGCAGTCTCGTGTGAGGCAGTCTGGAGCGAAATGCCCCGCCAGGCCTGCGGACACGCCCGGCGGTGCGACAGGAGGGAGCTGTTCTCGGGGAAGAGGGGCGCGGGAGAAGAAGCTGGAAGAAGACGAGGGGGAGCAGGCACAGGAGGACAAGGCCGTCCTCCTCCCTCCTCTTCTCCCTCCTCCTCCTCCTCCTCCTCCTGCTCCTCCTCCTCCTCCTCCCCTCCCTCCGCCTCCTCTTCCACCTCCGCCTCCTCCTCCTCCTCCTCCTCCTCCCCTCCGCCTCCTCTTCAGTATCGTTCAACCGACCGCCATCCCCATCCCCATCCCCATCCCCATCCCTCTTCCTCTCCCTCCTCGTCCTCCTCCTCCTCGTCCTCCTCCTCCTCCTCGCTCCTCCTCTCCCTCTTCGCCACTCGTGCGAAATCGGTCCCTTCTTTTTGCCCGAGGAGCGCTACAGTCTGACGATGGAAGTTTGCCCAGCGTAGAAAAGGAGGTGGACGGGGGGGAGGGGGGGTCAGAGCGGACCCAGGAGGCACCGTCGATGTTGATGATGCTGATGCTGATGCTGATGCTGATGCTGCTGATGATGCTGACGATGATGATGACGATGCTGATGACGATGCTGATGGCTATGATGATGCTGAGGATGATAAAACTGATGCGGCTGATGAATCGTATTATGATGATGGCGATGATGTTGATGCTGATGATGATGCTGATGATGATGACGATGATTATGATGACGATGCTGATGATGTCGATGCTATTGATGCTGATGATGAGGATGATGTTGTTGATGATGACGATGCTGGTGATAGTGATGGTGATGACGATGATGATGCTGCTGATGATGCTGATTATGATGATGTTGATGATGATGCTGATGATGAGGAGGAGGAGGATGAGGAGGACGAGGAGGAGCAGGATGTGGAGGAGGAGGAGGAGGAGGAGGATGGGGGAGGAGGGGGAGGAGGAGGAGGAGGAGGAGGAGGAGGAGGAGGAGGAGGATGTGGAGGAGGGTGTAGAGGAAGAGGAGGAGGATGAAGACGAAGACGAAGACGAAGACGAAGACGAAGATGAAGACGAATAACAATAATAATCGTACTATTTATCATACGAAGAGTAATTATAAAAATAATACTGATAATGATACGACTAATAAGGTTAATGATAGCGCGAAGAGGAAGAAGAAGGGGACGAACACTAATAACAATAGTAATCATAGAGTTAATAATACTATTGATAATGCTAAGAGGATGATTCATAATAATAAGAGTACTAGTACGAACGCTATTAATAACCATAATCATGTTAATACTAATAATGGTAATAACACGAAGAAGACGTCTCAAAACGAATAAGAAACAGACAACTACGAATTTTTTAATATGAATAAGAATAGTAAGACTACTACATAATCTAATAAGAATAAGCATAATACAACATACTATTAATAGTAATACTGTTAGCACTACCACGAATACACATAATAACATTAATGATACTAATATCAGGATGGTACTAAGATTAATAGCAATGAGAATGTTAGTCATACTAGTCATAATACTAGTACTAATGACAATAGTAATGATACTAATTCGAATGATACGAAGAACGGTATTCGTAATAATAATAAGAAGAAAAATCAGAGGAGGAGGAGTTCCTGCAGGATCTTCCTTTCCACTGTGGGGAGGCGCCCCCCCCACCCCACCCAGGAGAAGGAGCGCCCATTGGTGAGCCCGCCCCCTGGCCTCGAGCGCAGAGGCATTCGAGCGCAGTGCTTTCAAAGACGTGTCGAGCGAGGGCCCCCGTTGTTGGGAACGAGCTTCAACATCGTTTAACCGACCTCCATCCCCATCCCCATCCCCTTCCTCCTCCTCCTCCTCCCCCTCCTCCTCCTCCTCCTCCTCCTCCTCCCTCCTCCTCCTCCCCCGCTCCCCCTCCCCCTCCTCCTCCTCCTCCTCCTCCTCTTCCTCCTCCTCCTCCTCTTCTCCTCCTCCTCCTCCACCTCCGCCTCCTCCTCCACCTCCTCCGCCTCCTCCTCCTCCCCTCCGCCTCCTCCTCAGTATCGTTTAATCGACCCCCATCCCCATCCCCATCCCCATCGAGACCCCCACCAAATTACCCCTCCAGTTGGGGATGCACCCCTCGAAGCCCGAAGGGAACGGCCCATATCCCCATCCAGGGGGGTCAGTCGGCCAGTGGGGCCCAGGCCACGCCGCTGGGGATGGGGGTCGGATAAACGATGCTCAGAGGGCCCCCGTTTTGGGAACGAGGCGCCCTGCATCCGTGTGACCGTGACTCATCTGTCAACCTCTGGTCTTAAATCTGGCGTGTCCCTCTAGAGGAGGAGTATTCAGAAACAGTCCAAACATAGACAGGGGACGATTTTTTGACTATTTTTGAGCATAGTCTGGGTACTTTTTGAGTGTTTTATTTTTCCGTCCAGAATCCGCCTGTAGGAGGACATGCCCGACTTAACTCTGGTCATATCCGTGGAGAGCGTGTCAAGCCCTGGTCCCATTTCTCAAAAATGGCCCCGACCTCCGTGCAGCTCCAAGACTTGAGAGACCTTCGGTCATGGATTTCAGGAGGCCTCCAGGCGAGAGCACCGGCCACCACCGTGTCAATGTTGAGCTACACTGTCAATGCCTCGATCTCCTTGGGCTTCGCTGTGTTCCTGCTCGTTAACATTTGTGACGTGTGCGGAGCTACGCTGTCAATGCCGCGCTTTCTTGTGGCTTTTCTGCGTTCCTGCCCACAACGCACACCGCCAGAGGCGGTGGAGAGCTTGAGAGATCCACCTACCAACAGAACATTCTGAAGGTGAGCCACCCCAATGCGCAGAACTCTTGTACGCCTTTGGGGCGAACGTGCGCGGCGCTGGTGCGAGAGCTACGCCCTCAATCTGCGAACCTCCGGGTGCGAACGAGCGTGGCGCCCAGGCGAGAGCCCCGTGCCGATCCTCACCCGCCCCGCATCCGTGCAATTTGTTGTAGGCCTCTGGACAGCATGGGTGCGGCGCCCTGCCAGGGCCCCATGCTTGAACACCACTTGCCCCTCCGTCTGTCTCCTCCTCTCTCGGCGGCGAGCCAGGGGGGGGGGGCGTGTGAGAAGGATGAGGGCTTCTTAGGTGGTGGCGGAGCTTCTCAGAAACCCTCGCGCCTGCTGAGAAGCTTTCCGCATCTTTGGGCAGGGTTTGGAACATTTCTGGACTTCCCAGCCTTCTGAAATCGCCCGCCCCTTCACACTTCCCCCCCAGGCTCGCCGCTGTCTCTTGCCTCCTCCTCCTCCCTCTTTCCTCCTCGTCCTCCTCGTCCTCCTCCTCCTCCTCGACCTCCTCCTTCTCCTCTTCCTCCTCTGCTCTCGTCAGTCTGCGCTCGTCCGCCGTCCGCCATCCCCCTCCGCCCTCTTCTCCCGCCTTCCCCTCCGCCCCTTCCTCCTGCCTCCTCGCTTCTCCCTCTTTCATGCCGGATGTCTCCTCCCTCCTCCACCGCGTTTCTTCTTCTTCTTCTTCTTCTTCTTCTTATCATTATTCTCATTACATTGGTCGAACTTGGGCAACGAGGTCGAAGCGTCACGTTCCTTCTTCTCCTCCTCCCCCTCCTCCTCCTCCTCCTCCTCCTCTTGCCTCCTTTTCCCCAAGGACGCTGACCCCGAACTCGTCTTGAGTTTTCTTTTGTGCACGCCGAGTGTGGTGGCACCTCCATGGCCGTTGCCGAGCTCCTCTTGCCTCCTCCTACCCTCGCCTTCTCCTCCCTGCGTCCCTCCCTCCCTCCCTCCCCCTCCTCCTCCCTCCCTCCCTCCTCCTCCCCCTCCTCCTCCTCCTCCCCCCTCCTCCTCCTCCTCCTCCTCCTCCCTCCTCCTCCCTCCTCCTCTTCCCTCCCTCCCTCCCTCCCTCCCTCCCTCCCTCCCTCCTCTTCCTCCCTCCTCTTCCTCTTCCCGCCCGACTCCTCGCTCCTCGGACTCCTCGCCGCAGGCCCTGTCCCGCGGGGGCGTGCTGCCCCCACCGGACCCGCCCGAGGGCCGCCCCCCCCCCGCCCCGCCCGGGCCCTCCGCGGGGCAGGCCGGCACCGTTCGGCAGCCCAGGGGCTGCCCCTCTCCCCCCCCTCTTCCGCTCTACCCCGGGAGGAGCTGGAGGAGGACGAGGCCGAGGAGGAGGGGGCATTGTAGATGTGTGTTTGTATATGTGCATGTGTGTATATATACATAGATATATCCAGATATGTTGTTTGTTTGTTTTGCGTATGCGTATGTGTATATTTAGGTATATATGGAGGTACATGTATATGTTTACGGTAGGCTTGCGTCGTGTCGACCAGCGGCGACCCCAGCGCGGACGTTCAAGGTTGAACGCCGCCAGCGACCCAGAATCGATTGATGTTGAACGATCGGACGTTGCGGCAGCGGCCGATCGTTCAAGGTTGAACGATCCCTGCGGTGTCAATAACCAACGCTGGGGTCGGCACGACACGAACCTGCCGTACGTGTATGCATCTGTATGTGTACACATTTTTACATGTATATGTACAGGTATTGGTAGACATATGTGCGTTTTCATATTACATGTATGATCGCACATGTATGCATATGTACACGTTTACGCATATGCATATGTATATTCATTAATGTATATGTACATGCATATGCATATGAATATATGTGTGCATCTGCATTTCTATTTGTATGTGTACACTTATATTCATCTGCACACATATATATATATATATATATATATATATATATATATTATAGACATGCATGTATATATATGCGTGCATATATGTACGTAGGTATGCATGTCTGTGAGCATGTATGTATGCATGCATGTATGTATGCATACATGTTTGCGTGTATGTATACATGCGTGTTCGTATGTATGCATGTATGCATGCATGCATGTATGTATGTATGTATGTATATATACATACAGATATATTCAGATACATTCATATATATATGTATATGTATATGTATTTATATAGGTATGAATGTATGTATGCATGCATGCATGCATGCATGCATGTATGTATGGATGTATGTATGTATGTATGTATGTATGTATGCATGCATGTATGTATGTATGTATGTATGTATGTATGTATCGGTAGACATGTGTGTACGTCACCGGAGCCATCGATGAGCCTTTCCTCCCTCCTTCCCTCCCTCCTTCAGGGGCCACGCCAGGGGAGGATGGGCTCATGGGTGACGCATCGACCCCCAATCGCCATTGATCGCCGATAGGCGCCCGATATGCCCCGGCTTCGCTCTCGGGGGCATGTCGCCGATCTGTCGGAGATCCATCGCCGATGCCAGGTCGATGTTAGCCCCCCTGGGCTGGTTCCCCCCAACGCTGCCCCTCACTCCTTGCCACTCCTTCTCTCCTCCTCCCGCCTCCACTGGACCCGCCCGCTTCTCGTTTCGACTGGGCCCTCGTTGCGCCTTACCCCAGCCTGCGGCTCCTGAAAAGGTCGAGCTACCAGTCTCCCGTGCACGGCCTCCCGTCGGACGTGTACATGTCCCAGGCTCGTCTCCTTCCCGGGTCGTCGCCGTTGTCCTGGTGGTTGTGGTCGTCATTATCGTTATGGTCGTGGTCGTCGTGATCGTCGTGGTCGCTGTTGTCGTCGTGATGATGGTCGTCATCGTTGTCGTCGCCGTCGTGGTCGTGTTCGTCGTCAGGATCGTCGTCTTGGCGGTGGTGGTCGTCTTCGTCTTCGTCGTCGTCGTCGGAGGAGAAGGAGGACTGACGGAGGGAGTGAAGGAGGAAGGAGGAGAAGAAGGAGTAGGGAGAGAGAAGGTGGAGGATGAGGAGGAGGAGGTGGAGGAGGAAAAGGGAAGGATTGAGGCAGGACGGCGGACTGCCAGGAAGGTCCTTGAAAGCTGCGGCTTGGGGAGGTTTCGAGGCATTGCACGCGCTTTCCACGATCGTGTGGAAGTAAGGTGTTTATGCGCACAAGCAAGTCCACGTTGCTTTCAAGTAAATAAAAGACTTATCAGCCGCATCGCATTTCCATCGTCATCATCAGCATCAGCATCAGCATCAGCAGCAGCATCAGCATCAGCATCAGCATCATCGTTATCAAGATCATCATCATCACCATCACCATCATCACCACCATCACCATCATCACCATCATCACCATCATCACCATCATCATCACCATCATCACCATCATCACCATCATCACCATCATCAGCATCATCATCATCACCACCACCACCACTTTGATGCGTGCTTTAGACTCTGCTGCGTGGACGTTCGCCACAGCAGTTTTCAATCCGCAGTGTAAGCGTGCTGGCTCTTCTCCTCCGCATTTTCGACCTTCTCATTCTCGTGCTTCTTCTCATCTTCCTACTCCGCATAGGTGTTCTTCATCCTCACCCGCTCCTCCCTCCTGTATCCCTCCCCTCTCTTCCCTCAGTGCTTCTCCATCTGTTCTCATCCCTCCTTCCTCCTTTTTCCCTGCTCCCCTCCCCCTCCCTCCTCCCTCCCTCCTTCCTCCCTCCCCCCTTCTCCCTGTGTCATCCTTCTCTGTCCTCCCTCACCCCTCCTTCCCTCCCTCCTTCTCACCCGTCGTCCTCCACCTCGTTCTCCTCTGCCTTCTTCCCCTCCACTTCCTCTTCTCTTCTTCCATCCTTCCTTCTCCTCCTCCTCCTCCTCCTCCTGCTCCTCCTCCCCCTCCTCCCCTGACCCTCGCTCCTCTCTCCTTCGCTCTCCGTCCTCCTTCCCTCCATCTTCATCTGCCATCCGCCTCCTCCTTATCCGCGTCCCCTTCCTCATCGGCATCGAATCGCTGCGCGTCGTCCCCGCTGCCAGGGGAACTCCGTGTCTTTCGTGGAGTTCCACTTCTCCACGAAGAAGTGCATGACGGCCGTCCGGGAGGCGCTGAAGCCGCTCCGCACCGGCGAGGCCCCGGGCATTGACTCCAATGCACCACCCCAAGCGCGGCAGGATGGAGAGGAGGAAGATGCTGCTGCTGCTGCCGATGATGATGACGACGATGCTGATGACGACGATGCTGATGATGGTGATAATCAGGATGCTGATGCTGATGATGATGATGATGATGATGGTGATGATGACGACGATGATGATGATTCTGATGATGTTGATTACGATGATGGTAATGGTCATGATGCTGATGATGACGATTATGATGATGCTGCTGCTGATGATGATGATGATTCTGCTGATGCTGATGCTGATGCTGATGCTGATGATGATGATGATGATGAGGAGGAGGATGGGGATGAGGATGAGGATGAGGATGAGGATGAGGATGAGGGTGGGGAGCAGGATCATGATCATAAAGAGGATGAGGAGGAAACACAATAATACTAGTTTTGAGAAGAGTAGTAACAACACTCATACTAATAGTAAGAAGACAATTCCGAATACTAATCAGACTACTAATACTAATCGTAAGACGAATACTACTAATCATCATACAAATACTAAGAATACTACTACGACTAGTACGGCTAATACTAATGATAATCGTAATAATGTTTTAATACGACAATAATGATACTACTCACAATGCGAATAATACGAATACTACCAAACAAAGACCAGTGATACGACTACTCATACTATTCATACCAATAATAGTAGGAGTACTACGAATAATACTACTATTATTCTTCGTAGTAAGAACAATATGGCGAGCAAAACTAACCAACAATAATAGCAACAACAATAATCTGACGAACAAAAGTAGTACCACGAATAATAATCCTAGGACTCATACTAGCACGAAGGATTTTATTCTAATGCGAATATGAATGAGAGTACGAAGGAACATAATATTTGGAGGAGGAGGAGGTCGTTATTTCAGTTGCCCGCGGCGAGTCCCGCCACCGTGCCAGCCCAGCGATCTTGGTGGCAGCTGCTCGAGGCATGCACAGGAAACCGCAGCGTGTGACGCCTCGTGCCCCGACGCCTGGGGGAGCCGTGACATGCGGCACGCCCTTCCGCGTCGTGCTTGGGTGTCTCTCCTCGTGTTCGTCGTCGTCTTTCTCGTGTTCGTCGTCGTTTTTCTCCCTTGCTCGTGTTCGTCGTCGTCTTTCTCCCTTCCTCGTGTTCGTCGTCGTCTTTCTAGTGTTCGTCGCCGTCTATCTCTCTTGCTGCCTCGTTCTCTCTCTCTCTCTCTCTCCAGGGGCCTCTTGGGGGGCCTGGGGCCTCTCTTGGAGGCCTCGTCGGGACGCCCTGGGGGGCCTCCCGGGGCCTCCAGGGGGGCTCCTTGGCCCGTCCTGGAGCGCCCTTGGGCAGTCTGGCGCCTTCTGAGTCTTTCTTCGGGGGCCTGTTTGGGCCCTCTGGGGGCTCGGAAGGGTCGTCCTGAGGGTCTCCTGATCCGCCTTGGGGCCTCCTGGGGCCGTCTTGGGGTCGTCTTGGAGGCCCATTGGGCCATCTTGAAAGACTCTTGGGCCGTCTTGGGGCTTTCTTGGGGGCTTCTTCGAATCATCCACAAACCTTTTGCCCATAAACAGTTTGGCGTCTTCGGGCTCTCCCGAAGTTTCTCTTGGAGCTCTCTTGGGTCGTGTTGGTGGCCTCTTGGGCCGCTCTGAGGGCATCTTAGGCCGTGTTGCGGTTATTTCAGACCGTCCGCGTCTTCCGCCCTGGCAGCGTGAACGACCAGTGTCTTGGAGGTGTCTTGGGCCATCTTGACGGCTTTGGTGGCCTGCCGAAGGGCGGAGGGGAGGGAGTCACGGAGGAGGGGGCGGATGAAGGAGAATGGGGAGGGATGACGACCTGTCCCCATCCTCCATCCTCGCTCGTTCTCCATCCTCCAGTCTCCATTTCCAGTCCTCCGTCCGCAGCTCATCCATCCTCTATTCTCCATCCTCCACCGCCTCCCTGCGGGCTGCCCCCCCTTCAGGGAGGAGGACCCGCACCGCCTTCCTTCGGGCCGCTGTCCTGTCCTGTCCATTTTCCAGACTCCGCGCATTCCCTCAGGTCCAACGTTCGTGAAAGTTTGCAGCATCGCGCAGGATCACGATGGGAGCCCTGGACCCCATCTTCCTGCAGCAGATTTCGGACCAGGATCGATCTGTAATCGCCCCAGGGCCCGAAAGCGGGCGAAACCGCCCTCGTTTGGAAAAAGTTGCAGCGCCTGGATCTCGGGGTTCTCCACGCCCAAAAACAGTGGGGGCCCATGCCAAGAAACACCCTTCTTGCCTCCAGGGTACCCTGGGTTTATTGGATTTCGATGCTTTTGCGATGGAGAGCGTGACGTTCCCACCCCCAAAAAACCCAGGGACGTCCTGGTGTCTCAGGGTTGGGTTTCTTGTGGGAGATCTCTTGTGGACTGGCCTCTGCTGTACGGTAGGTTCATGCGGCGTTGGCGCGCTTCCGACGCTGGCGAATGCGTTCAAGGTTGAAATCTGCGACGTGGAAGCATCGAGGGGCGCGGTGAGGCCAATAGACCGGACGGAGTTCAACCTGGAACGATCGGGGCCGCGATCGATTCAAGGCTGAACGATCGACGCGGTGTCAAAAACCTCTGCGCGCGCCGACGCCGCACGAACCTGCCGCACTCTGTTCGCAGTCCCCGGACTCCTGGGGGCGAGCACAGAGCCCGAGAGCGGCGCCCTCCTGCGACCAGCGCGCGCGGGGCCGCCTCAGGGCAGGGTGCTGTCCGCGCAGGGCGGCCCGGAGACGGCGGCTGCGGCGTCCATGGAGGCGGAGTTCGGGAGCCCCCCCCCCACCCGCCTCCGCTAGTGCAGCGGAGACCCATGCCAAGAGACACCCCGCTTGCCTCCAGGGTGCCCTGGGTTTCGTGGGTCTGGACGGCTTTGTTACGGGAAGGGTGGCATTCCCGCACCAGAAATCCATGGACGTCCTGGGGTCTCAGGGTTGGGTTTCTTGTGGAGGGTCTCTTGTGCTGTATTCAGTTGGGCGTGTCCATCTATTCAAGAAAGGTACACAATGATTATCAGGGGACGATTGTTTTTGTTTTGTTTTGTTGATTCTATGTTAGACTATCTTACATTTTTCCTCCAGAATCCGCCTGTAGAAGGACATGCCCGACCTAACGCTGCAGGCTGGGAAAGATATTCTTCTAACGTCACCACATGGTCCAATGCCGTCGAGGACGTCTGAGGCGAAGCCAGGCCCAAACTAGGAAAAAACAGGCAATGTGTGAGGACGTCTCAGGCAAAACCGGGCCCAAACCAAGTCAAATCAGGCAGATTGTTAGGACGTCTCAGACGAAACCGGGCCCACACCAGGCAAATTGTGAAGACGTCTCAGGCGAAACCGGGCCCAAACCATGCCGAATCAAGCAAATTGCGAGGACGTCTCAAGCAAAACCGGACCCAGACCAGGCCAAACCAAGCAAATTGTGAGGACGTCTCCAGCAAACCCGGGCCCAAGCCAGGCCAAATCAAGCAAATTGCGAGGACGGTTCAGGTGAATCCGGGCCGAAACCAGGCCAAACCAAGCAATTTGTGAGGACGTCTAAGGCCAAACCGGGCCCAAACCAGGCCAAACCAAGCAAATTGTGAGGACGTCTTAAGCAACAAGTGGCCCAAACCAGACCAAACCAAGCAACTTGTGAGGACGTCGCAGGCACACCTGGGCCCAAACCATGCCAAACCAGTGACCAAACCAAGCAAATTCGGAGGATGTCTCAGGCGGTTTGCGCCGCCCAAAAAGCCAAACCAGGCCAAACCAGGCCATACCAGGGTCTAAACCAAGCATATTTAAAGGACGTCCCAAGCAGAATCGCCCAAACCAGGCTCCACCCACTCTCCTTAATCAAATTCTGATTTCAAGGACTGGATCACTCCAAGCCCCCCCCCCCAGCGCGAGCCCGTTTAGAGTTTTATGGGGGGCGCGTTTGGACCCCATGTCCAGTGAGGCGGACGGGGTTGGGTGCGGACGGTTTCGTTTGTTTTCCCGTTGTCCTTGGGTCCTTCGTGTGGCGTAAGGAGAAATGGTTCCGGGCCTGGAGGAGAAGGAGGAGGAGGAGGAGGAGGAGGAGGAGGAGGAGGAGGAAGGAGGAGGAGGAGGGAGAGGAGGAGGAGGAGGAGGGAGAGGAGGAGGAGGAGGAGGAGGAGGAGGAGGGGGAGGCGGAGGGGGAGGGGGAGGAGGAGGAGGAGGAGGAGGAGGAGGAGGAGGACGACGAGGGGGACGAGGATTTTTTGCAGTGCGCGTCTACAAGCCAAACATTCGAAGGGTTTGACACATAGGCTTTAAAATTCAAGGAGACTATAGTTCAATCTCGCCGTCTGGGTGAGGACCCCAATCCTTGCACAGCTTCTTCGGGGGGAGGCCTCGTTTGATCCTCTGCAGCCCCTCACGCTGGTAATTTGTGAGCTTAGCTACGCCTTTGGCAACGGCGTCGCACGGCTCCAAAAGAAGCCTTGGAATCCTCTGCGACCGGCAGCCGCATTGGCCACAGAAGCTGAAGGAATCTTTTACCCAACAGTCATGGGTATCGTGCACCTGCCTGCCCGCCAAGAAAAAGGGGCGCGGCGCTCGGGCAGGAGGTTCTGCCATGCCGAGGCGCTCCCAAAGGCATTCGTCGACAGCTTCATCGGTCAACTGGGAACGCTTGCCGTCGGCCTTGCGCCCGCGGCGGAGGTCCCCAGGGTCCTCCTCCACCGCATTTGTCGCAGTGGCCGCACAGGAAGAGCGGACTATGCGAAAGAATTCTTTGGACTTCTTTTGACACAAATACCACAGCCCTGGCACCTCCAGCCAAAAATGGTGGGCACAAATGCATGCGTAGCACTTTCGATCACTGCCACTGTGGCCGCCCTCCGCCTCAAGAGCTTCGAAACACGTGTATGCGCGGGCTTCCTGGCAGGGTTCCGGGGCCGAGCGCACACCTCCAAGCAGATGGTGGCATTACGCTTCAAGATGGCCACCGCCTGGTCGACTAGATCGGTCGCATCCATGACTGCACGCGGTGGTAATTGACAAAGCTCCGCCCTATGAGAGGCAAGGGCGTCAGCAATGCAATACATAAAAAGAACATCTGGATTAGCAGAAGAAAGGTGTTTGTTGAGTTTGGCTTCATCTTCCGCCAGATGACTCGGAACGTAATCCAAAGTGAAACGAGCGCTCCTCCCACGAAGCGCCTGCCAAAACTAAAGTCGTCGTTCTGAAGGCTCAGAGTGTGATGGAACCCTTTACGGAATGCTCGACATGGTTTTCATGGTCTGTGACTACGAGAAGGTCGTGGTCAGGCTCTACGCGGCGAACAACCTCGATAATAGCAACCAACTCCGCTCTAGGCCCGGTCTGCCGCCTTCCCTCCAAATTGCCGTGCCTTCCCATGTCCCAATCGGGCTCTGGACAGGGACGGCGCAGTCGGGCAAAGGCAAACGAGCAACGCCTGAGCAGCGGGTTGGCCGCCAGCGGGCCGCCAGAGCCATCGGTGCCATATGTGCCACCAGGCAAACTACGGTTAGCAACGGCCCTCACCGAAGTAACCTCCTGGAACTCGGGGGGGTCAGGGATGGCGAGCCAGCTCGAGGGGATAAGTGCCCCTGCACCAGAAAATGGGTGCAGCGGGAGCCTCCTCACGGGCTTGGTGCCTGAGGTGGTTGGTCTCCTGTATTAATGGGCTGTCAGCAACATCATTGCACATGCATCCCCAAACCCTATGAATGGAGCAATCGGCGAGACGATGGCACCGCTGGCAAATGGCATTCACGACCAGCTTGGCGTCCGCTAATCGTTGCTCTGGCCAGTAGCCCCCACAGGCAACAAGACGAACCATGCCAGCAAGGGAAGACTCGCCTTTCTCCTCCAAGGACCGAAGGAGGCACGGCACGTCTGCCAGTAAATACCTTCAGCCGCTCCTCCACCACCATAAAACTTGGATGCCTCGCGCCACTGGCGAAGCTCAATGCCATCGTTGACAGTCTCCAACAAGAAAGTAATTTGACCCTTCATGTCATCAACGCGGCTCAACGTGTCACCATCTGGATCAACGAAGCGATCAGGGCCAGGCACCGCCCATCCGATGGACAACATAGAGGCTTGGAACGCAGCCATGGGCCCCTTGACATACCGCCAGCCTTTGCCAGCAACAGTCAAAGATACTTCCCAACAAGCCCTCACTCGTTCAAGGAGGGGCGGCCTGTTTGCCAGCCTCGTCACCCAGGCCTGCAACAATCTCTTGAAATAGACCTGCACTGGGTCCCGGCCATCGCCACATGTGAGGCGGATGGCGGTCGTGGCGCAGATCCCTTTCTGCGAGGACCTGGAGCATGCGTGAGCCATGGACCTTAAGCGTCTGAGCATGCTGGGAGAGAGCCCATGCACCTCCAGGGCCCACATGGCATTCGAATGAACGTTTGTATAAAATAACTTGCTGGCTCCACGGTTCGACGAAACAAACCTGCTCACCTTCCGGGTCGCACGCCCCCCCTTCTCAAAATGCTTCTGGCGAACCTTGGTCACGCGCCGAGCGCCGAATGAGGTGTCGTGTCCAAGGTCCCGGGCGTCTGGAGCACCCTTGATGCCCCTGAGGCCCTCCTTCTCAGCGGCAATCACCAACTCCTGGCGGACGGCCACTGAGGAAGAACGGAGGCGGCACTTATCAAGAGAAAGCTCGCAATGGCGCCGCTGGAGACCTATGAGAAGAGCGCGCAAAATAATCGGAAATGTAGCACAAATACTGGCATGGGTGCCGAACAATCGAAAAGAGATGTCGTCGACCCATTCCCTGAGGCTCAGCCCGCTGACTGAAAGGGTAGCAGACTTCATGGGCTCATGCAGGTACGGTCTAGTCTGACTGACGGGTTGGCCCTCTGGGCAAAATGCCTCCGGGGGGAAGAATGCCGCTGTGGACTGCGCCTGAAGACATGAGCACCCGCACGCCCAGATATGCGTCCATAGCGAGCACCAGCAACCTCAAGGGGTACCGCAAGGCTTTCGAAGCCTCGATCAGGTCAGGAATGGCGACTTGATCGTAGAACTTGCGTAAATCGAGAAGGCCACCACCGACTTCGAACCCATGGTGGCGAGCCAACTCTGATTCCAACACGTCGAGCCAACCGGCCACTTCCGCCGAGGACCCAACCGTTTTGTCCCAAGGGCCCGCAGCAGAGCGATCCCAATTCGAGACATACGGCCGACGAATACGAATGAGAAGGACATACACGAAACCCATGAGGGCTATAGGGCGGAGCCCGCCATCCTTTTTATCGATGAGCGCAACGAGGCTGACAATCTGTTGCAAGGGGAGAGGCATGCCGTTCAACCTCCCCCAGAAGACCAATAGAGGCAAACTTGGCTTCTTTGCTAGCTTCCTTTAGCAGCCGGGGATTAAAAGCATCAGCGCCCCTGCCCCTGTCATCCGGAATCGTGGCCAGAGCCGCATCAAGCATATCTAAAGTGATCGGCTCCATCGTGGGCGCCGCCTGGGCCTCAGAGCGAAGTGACGCAAGGGATTCCAAGGCTTCGACGCGAGAGTGCCGACCCCAGATCGCCTTCCAGGCGGCAGCCTCGAAATCCAAAACCTCACTCAAGTCAGAGACAATGCGGCCCTGGCAATCCACGCGGTCATGAACAGTGTGGCTCCGGCTTTCCTTCAACAGGCGATGGGCTGGCCCAGCTGACTTGCTGAGAGCCTCGGATAGCCATCGGCGCCACTGCTTCGAGTAATGCGAACGTGCACGCGCAGCATGTGATTGGCCTAGCCTGACCGCCTCCTCGGCCATCTCCTGGAGGCCATCCAGACGAATGCCTGGGAGTGTCTGCAAGCGGATCTGCCAGACCTCCTGATAGGCAAGCTCCCCCGTAAGGGCAGGCTGGAGAGGGGGAGGGACGGTCCACTTCTGCAGAGCCCTGACCAACGACCAAAACTGGACAGAGCAATCAGCTCTTGGTTCAGCCGGGCAGCTAAGATCGCTCTCCTCGCAAACCAGCTTAAGAAGAAAAGTCAGCTGCGTGCCTAATGCCTGCCACCATCGCGCCAGCCTCTCGGCCAAATTATGGGCCGCAGGACTGTTCGGCACTATGGGCAGGAGTCTGGCTCTAGGCGGCTGGCACCTGCCAGCGAACCTGCTCCTCTGGAACACGGAGTTTGCAACAGGCCTCCAACTCGATAGCCAACGTGATTTCCGAGAGAGTAGCGCCTAATTCCCGCGCCGTGCCAATTGCATCATGCTGCAGACTCATCAACTGGAAAGCCTGGAGTTGGGAGTCCTGAAAATGGACTGTCTTCGGGAAGATGGCCTTGGCCTCCGCCACAGTCCAGGAGGGGGGAGGGCAGGAGGAGGAGAAGGAGGAGGAGGAGGAGGAGGCGGAGGAGGAGGAGGAGGATGAGTAGGTGGAGGATGAGGAGGAGGCGGAGGAGGAGGAGGACGAGGAGGAGGAGGAGGAGGAGGAGAGGAGGATGATGATGATGAGGAGGAGGAGGAGAGGAGGAGGAGGAGGAAGAGGAAGGGACATGATGGGGGGGGGCAGGAGGAGGAGGAGGAGGAGGAGGAGGAGGAGGAGGAGGTGGAGGAGGAGGTGGAAGGGGTGGAGGAGGAGTGGACAGGAGGAGGAGAAGGAAGAGGAGGAGGAACAGTGTAAACCCAAGGGTCATCAACGATGTTAGAGTAAAGCCTTCCCCCAAGCTCCCTCTTCATAGCCTTCTTATAACGGTTCATTTCCATTGATGGAATTGCCTCGTTGGACGACACCCGTTTGGAGACCCTGAAGCATGCCAAAACATTGTTTTCGGGATTTCAACGCCACATATAAACCTGATTGTTGCGTCTTGACGTTCCTGAATCGTACCAGAACGCCATTCCTAGGACTTCAACACAGAGAATCACTATAACTGTTGCGCCCACATAACCCTGAACCCTTACGAAACACCATTTCTGGCACGTTGATGATGGGAATCCGTGAAACCCTTGCAAAGTTTTTAAACAAATGTGCGTCGCGCTAAGGCGAAAGCAACATTTTGAAAACGGAGCCGCCCTCAATCCGTGAAACTCTTGTGTTTTTGTAAAACGAATGTGCGCCGCGCTCAGGCGAGAACCACATTTTGAACACGACTCGCCCTCAATCCATGAAACTCTTGCAATTTTTTAAACGAATGTGCGCCGCGCTAAAGCGAGAGCCACATGTTGAAAACCACCCGCCCTCAATCCGTGAAGCTCTTGCACAGTTCTAAAGCCATTCTTGCTCCTGTGGCTGCTGCTGCTGTAGCGGCCGCCTCTGCTGACGCTTCTGGTCCCTGAGACCCAACAGCTTGCCCACGACGAAAGGATGAGAGGGAGGAGGAGGAAGAGACGGGGAAGGATGGGGAGGAGGACCTTCCCATCCTTCTCCCCCGTCCTACCTGTGGTAGTGGTGGTGGACACTTTGCCCATGTGCCACGTTCGACGTCTCTTGATCGACTCAGCCGTGAGCCAGTGCTGTCGGCCTTCATCCTGGTGGTAAGTTCCCGCCGCCTCCTGATGTCCTACCTTTTTACTTCTCTCTCCAGCTGCAGGTGCAGCTACGATATGAGCTCACTGGGCATCAGGCGCTCTGCCGCAGCAGCTGGGTACACACTGCACGGTCTTTGGCGCAGTAGCATCGGCGTCAGATCCTAGGCTCGGCGCCAGTCGTGCACGAGGGCTGCCACTCAGCGGCGGCGAAAAGGGGGATCAGCTCAATGGGCTGGTGCCTCTTGCCGATCTATCGGCAATATATTGCCGATGTCAGGCCGACTACGTTTTGAGCCAACTCCCAACACCCCCCATTCGCCCCCCCTTCGCTGCCTCTTCATTTGTCATATTTTTCGCCACCCTGAATTGTTGGCCTTCCTGACCATCTTGCTTCGCCTCTGATGGTTTCCGTTTCTCCATCTTGTGAGGTGCCTTGTGTTGCGCGTGGCGGCTTCTCATACGCGCGGCTTGCGATTTCCAGCTCCGGCACAGGAGAGGAAAGTTGTACGCCTCCCATGACCTCTTCTCAGGCAGGCCTCGCTCGAATCGAGATAAATCGGTCCAGAGCGTTCCGGAACGCTCTGAAACGGCCGCGGCGCCCGACGCATCCTCCGAGCCCGCTGATTCTCAGATATTTCCGATTTACATCGGTCCGATTTTGTTTGTCTCGATACTGCCTGCTGTCTTGCCTCCTGGCTCATCGTCCTCCTCGCCCTCCTGCTCCCGCGCCGCCCATCCTCGCCAGGACTTCGATGAAGCACTCGATGATCGCCATGCCCATCTGCGCCTTCATTCTGTGGATGGTTGTCGGCAACGTGTTCCGCGCGACCACGCCCATGCTGGTCGTGGGGGACTCCCTCCTCCTCCTCCTCCTCCTCCTCCTGTCCCCCCCCTCTTTCTCCTCCTCCTCCTCCTCCTCCTCCTCCCTGATTTCTCCACCTCCCGCCCTGCCTTCACCTCCTGTTTTCATTCCTCCCATATCCTGCTTCCCGCCCTTCTTCCTCCCCCCTCCTACCCCTCCTCCATTTTTCCTTGCCTACTCCTCCTCCTCCTCCTCCCTGCCCTCTTCCTCCTTCCTGTCGGTCCTGGGTGGCATCCGTACTCGTGTAACTCCTCTATCTCCTTCTCCTTCTCCTCTTCCTCTTTACCACCACTACCACCACGACTACTACTACGACTACGACTGCGACTATGACTACGACTGCGACTACGACGACGACGACGACGACTACCTTTCAGAGCTACTACTGTTACTACAACTGGAACTACCGCTACTGATGATACTACTCCTACTCCTACTACTACAACTACTACTACTACTACTACTACTACTATTACTACTACTACTACTACTACTACTACTACTACTACTACTACTACTACTACCACTACTAGCACTACTACTACTACTACTACTACTACTACTACTACTACTACTAACTACTACTACTACTACTACTACTACTACTACTACTACTACTACTACTACTACTACTACTACTACTACCACCACCACCACCACCACCACTACTACTACTACTACTACTACTACTACTACTACTACTACTACTACTACTACTAACTCCCTAGTACTACTACTACTACGACGACTACTACTACTACTACTATTACTACTATCACGACCACCACTACTACTACTACTACTACTACTACTACTACTACTACTACTACTACTACTACTACTACTACTACTACTAGTAGTACTACTAGTACTACTAGTATTCGTATTATTACTATTGCTAGTGCTGGTGTACTACTGCAACTACTACTGCTAGTACTGCTTCTACTACTTGTTACTATTTTTACGTTTACTACGACTACGACTACGACTTCTATTACCATTGCTACAACAACAGCAACTACTACTACTACGACTACTACTACTACTACTACTACTACTACTACTTTCACTACTACGACTACTATTACTACTACTACTATCACTACTACTACTACTACTACTACTACTACTACTACTACTACTACTACTACTACTACTGGTACTGGTACTGGTACTGGTACTGGTACTGGTACTGGTACTACTACTACTACTACTACTTCTACTTTGTACTACTACTATTACTACTACTACTACTGCTGCTACTACTACTACTACTCCTACTACTACTACTACTACTACTACTACTACTACTACTACTACTACTACTACTACTACTACTACTACTACTACTACTACTACTACTACTACTACTACTACTACTACTACTACTACTACTACTAGTACTACTACTACTACTACAACTACTACTACTACTGCTACTACTACTACTACTGCTGCTGCTGCTACTACTACTACTACTACTGCTGCTGCTGCTGCTACTACTACTACTACTGCTACTACTACGACGACGACGGCGACGACGAGGACGACGACGACGACGAGGACGACGACGACGACGACGACGACGACGACGACGACGACGCCGACGACTACTACTACTGCTACTGCTGCTGCTACTGCTGCTGCTGCTACTGCTGCTGCTATCGTTATTATTATTATTATTATTACTACTACTGCTACTAGTATTACCACTACCACTACTGCTGCTATTGCTTTCATTTGTACTACTTCTCCATGTTTCCTACCTCTACTTGTAGCACTCCTCTTATCACTACTACACAATGACGATACCACTACTACTGCTACTACTACCGTTACTGCTGCTGTTGCTGCCACTGCTTCCGCTACCGCTGCTGCCACTGCTTCGTCTATTACTGCTACTGGGGGAAGGGAAGGCTCCTGGGTCCAGGACCCGTTTTTTCTCGGGACCTGCTTCCACCATGCCAAATGGCACAAGCAATCAAGAAAGGATGATGATGATGATGATGATGATGATGATGATGATGATGATGATGATGATGATGATGATGATGATGATGATGATGATGATGATGATGAAGATGATGATGATGATGATGATGATGATGATGATGATGATGATGACGGACGATGATGATGATGATGATGATGATGATGATGATGATGATGATGATGATGATGATGATGATGATGATGATGCTGCTGCTGCTGATGATGATGATGATGATGATGATGATGATGATGATGATGATGATGATGATGGTGAGGAGGAGGATGATGATGGTGAGGAGGAGGAGGAGGAGGAGGAGGAGGAGGAGGAAGAGGAGGAAGGAGGAGGAGGAGGCCGTCTCGATACAGGAAGAATGACACAAGCACAGACTGTCGGAGCTCCGCGCGGATCTCTCGCATCTGCGCCGGGTCTCCCCGGCGGCGCCTCCGGCGGCGCCCCCGGCGCGCCTGCACAGCGCAGGTCCGAGGCATCTGCGCGGAGCTCTGGGAGCTCATGTTGCTTTCGTTCTCGTGTCTCTGCCGCCTTCCCGGCCCTGTCAGTCCTTGTTCGCGCGCTCGCTCGCTGGCCAGCCGGAGGGGCAGCGCGCTCGAAGCCCGTGCACGAGGGCAGCGAGAAGGGCGAACGAAGACAGTGCAGTGATGCACGCGAGAAAGAGCCTCCCGGGGTCCGGGCGTGCACGCGGCTGAGGAGGGGGAAGGGTCAAGACAGGTCCTGGCCGTCGCGCGCGTGCGAGGCAAGGGGCAGCGCGCCTGGAAGGGGCTCACTGCGCACTTTGCCGTCGCCGTTCCCACCCGCTGGACTGGTAACTCCCCGCGCGAGCACTCGAGCAGGAGGCAGGTGGCGCTACCTCGGATGCGCGGCTGAAGCGTGGGTGGCGCGTGCTGACATCGATGGACGCACCGTGCACCTGCCACTCCTCGACCGGGAGTATCCACCACTCACGGGACGTGCAAGGAGGGCAGGATCGCGAACAGGAGGCGGGGCACTCCAGAGGCACGCATCTCCAGTCGGACCCTGTGGTGTCACCCACGGAGTTCGCAGCCGACCCGACTCGGGCGCAGCAGCGCAGCGGGCACGGACGTGGACCCGCATTCGACCATCAGCTCGACGGCTCCTTGGGTGGCAGCGTGCCAGGAAGGCTCCGGCGGGCGAGGGGGGGCCCTCCTCGCCCTGCTCCCGCCAGGTCCCGCCTCGCCCTCCTCGTCTGCCCGCCGTCCTCGTCGTCGTCGTCCTCCTCCCTGGCCGCCTCCTCCTCCTCCTCGTCCTCCTCCTTCCTGTCCTCTTCTGCTTCCTCCTCCCTGGAGGTCCTGCTCCTCCTGCCTTCTTCTCCTCCTCCTCCTCCTCCTCCTCTTTCTCCTCCTCCTCCTCCTCCCCCTCCTCCTCCTCCCCCTCCTCCTCCTCCTCCCCTCCTCCTCCTCCCCCTCCTCTCTGTCCTCCTCCTCCTCCTCCTCCTCCTCCTCCTCCTCCTCCTCCCCCTCCTCCCCCTCCTCTCTGTCCTCCTCCTGATCCTCGTCCTCCTCCTTCTCCCTGCAGGTCGTGGGGGCGTCCTTCCTGTCCGGCCAGTCCGCCGTGGTCGCCGCCAAGGCGCGCGCGCGGGCCTGCCGCTCGGGGGGGTTGCAGCGCGGAGTGGCGGTGGAGGACGATGGGGGACGGCGAGGGGGGGGGGAGGCGCCTCCTCCCTCCTTCCCTCCTTCCCTCCTTCCCCCTCCCTCCTCCGCCGCCGCCGCCGCCGCCTCCTCCTCCTCCTCCCTCCTCCTCCTCCTCCTCCTCCTCCTCCCTCCTCCTCCTCACCCCCCTTTCTCCATTTTATCTTCCTCCTCTGTTTTCCCTCTCTGCCTCCCTGGGGGGGGATGCACAGAGTGGCGGTGGAGGACCCGGGGGATTTTGTTTTTTTTTTTTTTTTTTTTTTTTTTTTTTGTTTTTTTTGGGGGGGTGGGGGGGTGGGGTGGGTGGGTCGGCGTGTTTGTTTGTTTGTTATTTGTTGTTGTCTTCTCCCTCTCTCTCTATCCCTCCCTCTCTTTCTGCGTATGCATGTATGTACGTATGTCTGCATGCATGCATGCATGCATGCATGTAGGTAGGTAGGTAGGTAGATCGACAGGTATGTATGCATGTATGTATGCATGCATGCATGTCTGTCTGTCTGTCTGTCTGTCTGTATGTATGTATGTATGTATGTAAGTATGTATGTATGTATGTATGTATGTATGTATGTATGCGTGCGTGCGTGCGTGCGTGCGTGCGTGCGTGCGTGTTTGCGTGCATGCATGTATGCACATATGCATGCATGCATGCATGTATGTATGTATGTCTGTATGTATGCATGCATGCATGCATGCATGCATGTATGTATGTATGTCTGTACGCATGCATGCATGCATGTCTGTGTGTATGTGTTGTCTGTTGCATTGCTGCATACCGGCATGCATGGATGCATGTATGTATGCATGCATGCATGTCTGTGATCATGTATGTGCGTTTGTAGGTATATGTGTATGTATTCATGCACGCATGTATGTGTACATGCATTAATTATGTATGCGTGCATGCATGTATGCATACATGTATGCACGTATGTATGCATGTATGCCTGTATGCATGTATACGTGTCTGCATGTACGCGTGTATGGCTGTATACATATATGTATATACGTATACGTGTATATTTGTATGCATTCATGTATGCATGCATGCATACAGCTATGGGTGTATGTGTACATGCGTACATTTATGTATGTATGTATGCATGCATGTATGCATGTATGTATGTAATTTGTGTGTAGGTATGTATGCATGCAGGTATGCTTGTATACGTGTCTGTACGCATGCACGCATGCATGTATGTAGGTATACATATATGTATGGACGCATGTATGTACGCATGTATGTATGGTATACGAATTTGTATGTGTTTGTATGCCTGCATCTATATATGCATGTTTGTATGCATGCATGCATGCACGTATACACACACGTGTATGTGCATGCAGTCATGTATGTTGGTATGCATGCGTGCATACATGCATGTATGCATGTATGTATGCATGCACGTGCGTACACACGTATGTATGCATGTATGTATGTATGTATGCATGCATATATGCATGCATAAATGCATGCATGCATGTATGTATGTATGTATGTATGTATGCATTCATGTATGTATATATGCATGCATGCATGCATGCATGTATGTATGTATGTATGTATGTATGTATGTATGTATGTATGTATGTATGTATGTATGTTTGCATGTAGTATGCATGTATGCATATATGTATGTAGGTAGGTAGGCAGGTATGTATGTATGTATGTATGTATGTATGTATGTATGTATGTATGTATGTGTGCATGTATGTCTGCATGTCTTTCTCTCTCTATATATATAGATATATCTATATGGGTGTGCCCCCGGTTGACAAGCTGACCATGTATCCCCTTCGTTGCCCGATGTCTGTGGCCATTCGGTCTCAGGCGCTCGGCCGTTTCAGAGTAACAGTTGGGCGCTATAGCTGGCCCTTGGGCCTGCGCCCTCGACGCCGCGCCGCGGCGGACATGATGAGGGTATCCTCCCTGGCGCCTGCCATGTCAGCGCGCAAGGGGAATGGAGACGGAGCCAGGGCGGAGGACCGCGGAGAAATGGCGATAGAGAACAACACCGCTCCGTACAACCTTCTGGGACGGGAGCCTGACCGCGGTCAGGGTCTCCCTTTCGCCGAGTTCGGAGCCAGGCGACGAGGATTGGCATAAGGTCAGATAAGGGCACGTTGCCGCAGAGATAATGGCCTAGGCGAAGCGCGCGCCGGTGGTCAGAGGGGGCCGACGGCACAGGCAGGTTCTCGGGCGGCTACGCCGTCGCGACCACCACGGCCAAGTGTCACTTTTGCGAGGACGAGTTCGGCTTGGTCTCATGCTTGTTGCTGGCCTATTAGGATGGTCCATGAGGATGGTGAGACGCCATTCTTCCACACTATCAGCTCAGTCGTCGCTCGCGTGGGCAGCGAGTCCTCGTGGACGTGCAGTAACAATCCCGTGCCTCTCGCGCCCGTGCCACTAAATGTTCTCCAGGTGCCACGGGAGCCAGCGGCAAAGCGACGCGGAGTATTGGACCTGGCGAGGACCTGCAGCTTGAATTCCGTGTGGCTCAACTTGGGGAGGCGTAAATCAGAAGAAGGAGTCGCCGTCGCATTGGACCAATACCGTCGAGCTCGCCATGGGAGCGGAGCTCGCGAAGCACGAGGACAGGCCAGTGGGCACGCGCGTCAATTTGGCGAAGGTCTGCTAGGGCATCCTGGAAGGGAGCGTTTGGGAGCTGCGGTGGACTTCACGATTGCCTCCTGCGGGGGTAACCGTGTTATGTACGTGTGCCCGCGCTGCAAATCGGCCCCCCTCAAGCCGAGGGAGAGGGCGCGCTGTGTGGTACCGTCGCAACTGGACGAGCCAGGGGGCGCCGCCGCCGCAAGCCAGTGGAGGCGCGTGAGCAAGAGGTGCGGCCGCAGGTGTATAGAGACGAACGCCGACGCGTGGGAGCACCGCGTCATCATCTTATGGTCGCGATCCATCATCGAGAAGGGCTGCGTGGAGCTGGCCAGCGGCGGGGGGTGAAGCAGATCGAGCAGGCCCAGGAGTGCGGCCCGCAGGTCCGGGCGGAGATAGTCTACTTAGGCCGCGGCACCAAAGCAGGAGGGCGCCCTGACGACTTCAAGGACAACCGGGTTAGTGCCCACCATCAGCATCATGAAAGGGGAGAGAGATCCCCCTGTGCGGAGTGTTGGAGAGGGAGTTCGGCGCGGTCATGGGCGCCATCGACTCCAGCGACGAGGGGGCCTACGAGAAGCTCGTCAAGCACGCGTCCACGTTTCGGAGGGTGGGTCGCCGCGGACGTGCTCAGGGATTTGCAGATTTGCGCCTGCCGCGAGGACTCGCGCCTCTCCCGGGGCAAGTTTGTGGGGAACTATCGTGCCTGCTGCCCTCCAAGAACTGGCCCATTCTGAACCGTTCAGATCGCGACAGGGTTATCGACTGTCTGCTCCCGTTCTTCGATATCTCGGACTCCGCGGGAAACCCGCAGACAGCCGAGACGGGCAAGAATAAGGGCCAGCTGGCGAGGTTGTGGGAGTGAACGCGCGACCGCCGGCGGTTGGCCACTGCGTGCCTGATCGAGCGCGACAGCAAGCTCTGAACAAAAGGTCAGCGGGGCTCAACGAGGCGTTCGGGCAACGGCGGCGGCGCCGCAGACGTCAGAGCAGGGCGGGGCGCCGCCATCGCTCAGACAGAATGGCTGCCAAGCAGCCTAGGAGAGCGGGCTGCTGCGAGGTGGCGGCGCGTCGCAGTCCCAGCTGGCCGCGACGTGCAGGTGGCGCGGCGCAAGGAAGTGCTTGCGTCCGCGACGCGGGGTTCCGCGCGACCTTTCGGGGCGGGGGGCTCGCCGGCTGGGGGTCGCGTGAGGCGGCCGTCGCGGGGCCCAGGGCGCGTCGGCGAGGTGCTCTTCGGCCGCTGCCTCCTCGCCCCGGAGTCGGGCGGTTTCGGGCGGGCGGGCCCGCGCTCGGGGCGCGCCCGAGCGACGGCGGCGGCGGCGGCGGCTGGGGACTTCGGCGCGATGGAGGCGCCGTTGAGGAAGCTCGCTGGCCAGGCGGTGGGCGAGGAGGAAGGGGGGGTGCGACGGCGGAGGTCATCGAGGTGATCCACTGCCGCCGCCTCTTCGGCCAGCGTCGGGCGCCGCTGGCGGGCGGGCCCGCGTCCGAGGGGCTCCCTCGCGCAGGCGGCGGCGGCTGCGGACCTCCGCGCGAAGGGGGCGCAGCTGAGGGATATGGCTGACCAGACAGTGGACGAGGGGCAGAAGCGAAGCGAGTGAAGGCGCTCCGCAGCCGCTCCGAACAGCCCGCGAGGGGAGATTTGTCGCGAACCCCGTCGCGGTGGGCGACCGAGGGGGCGGGCTGGCCCCCCCGCCCTTGTCGAGCTCCGCCCGCGGTCTGCCCGCGGCCGTCTGTCGACGTGGGCCCTTGCCGCGTTGGGGCCTCCGACGTGGGCGCGCGACCTTCGAGCCAGCGGGTCGCGATGAAGTCCGAACGCTCTGCGCCGCTCCCCAGAGTTTGTCGAGGGGCCTCCAGGTCCGAGCCTCGGCGTCAGCGGGGCGCGCAGCAAGTGCGTGCCTACATGAACTCCCGCCTACATCACACGTGCATGGGGAGTATTACAGAATTACATATCCGCGCGTGCATGTGCAGTCGTGCGCTGACCGACGTGGCGCCGCTGCCAGATGGTCCCAGACTCTGGCGGCGCGATTTGTCGTGGCGCGGGCCCCCGGAGTAGTCCTCGACCCCCATCGCGCCGGTCAGCATCGGTCCTCTGACTCTCCATGGGCCCCCATCCCGGCCAGTTTTTCGAGCCGCGCCCATCCGTGGCAACGGGCCCCCTCCCCCGTCGAGGGCCACATGCTGCTGCTTCTGTTGCTGCTGCTGCTGATGCTGTTGCTTCCTCAGTTGCGGGTGAGGGTGGCGATGATGCTGCTGCTGGTGGTGGTGGTGGTGATGACGATGCTGATGATGCTGGTGATGTTGATCATGGGGATGCTGATGGTGATTGTGATGTTGATGACGACGATGCTGATGATGCTGGTGGTGATGATGATGGTGATGATGATTATGAGGATGAGGATGACGATGCTGATGTTGATGGTGATGCTGCTGCTGCTGCTGCTGCTGATGATGATGATGATGATGATGATGATGATTGGAAGGAGGAGGATGATCATGAACATGATGATGATGCTGCTGCTGATGATGGTGATGATGGTGATGATGGTGATGCTGACGATGCTGATGATGATGATGATGATGATGAAGATGAAGAAGATGAATAAGCTGATGCTGCTTCCGCTGCTGATGATGATACTGATAATGATGATGATGATGATGATGATGATGATGATGATGATGATGATGATGATGATGATGATGGTGGTGGTGGTGGTGGTGGTGGTGATGATGCTGATGATGATGACGAGGAGGAGAGGAGGTGGAGCAGGAGCAGGAGGAGGAGGAGGAGGAGAATACCGAGTAGGGGGAGGAGGAAGGTGAGGAGGAGGACGAGGAGGGTCAACAGGATGACGGGGTGGGGGACGGGGATGAGGGGATTGGGAAGGAGAAGGAGGAGAAGGAGGAGGAGGAGGAGGCGGAAGAGGAGGAGGAAGATGAGGAGGAGGAGGAAGAGGAGGAAGAGGAGGAGGAGGAGGAGGAGGAGGAGGAGGAGGAGGAGGACGGGGACCCCTACCGGCCTCCCCTCCTCCCCTCTTCCATCTTTCTTCGTGCTCCTCCTCTTCCTCTTCCTCCTCCCGCGCCCCACCCCCTGCCCCCCTCCCGTCCCCTTCCTTCGCCAGTCCTCCGCCCTTCCTCCGCCTTTCACGCAAGACTGCCAGCCGGCGCGTCGCGCCAATCTCCCCCCCCTGTTCCCTCTGCCGAGGAGGTGTTCCCTGGCCTGGACGTCAACTTCGACGATTCCATGGCCCTGTTCGTGGTCCTGGCGCTCGCCGTGGACCTCCCCGCGGCGATCTTCTCCCACATCGTCCTCCCCTCCTGTCCCTCGCCCACTGGAAGCGGGATCAGTATTTTCGGCACGAACGACATGGGTACGGAAAGAATGGGTACGATGCACAACAGCAGTTCCTGTTCATTTTGAACAGGGGTTGGTGTCCGCGCCGCCGCCGCCTGCGTCCATTGGAGACAGAAGGCCGCCTGCCCAACAGCGGCCGCTGTTGGTTTGGGACAACATTTGTTGTTGGGCATTGTATCCATTTTTTCCGTACCCATTTCGGGCGTCCAAATATTTATTTTGATGGTTCAGTTAGATTTCTCCGAAGGTTCAATAATTTTTCTTGAGGGTGCAACAGTTAAGTGGATCTTCTATCAGTCTTCAATTGCGCATGGGGTGAAACAGTCGGTGGATGGCCTCTTGGCCAGTAGACCGGTTGTCCCGTTTCCTAGTTGGTTGGTTGGTTGGTTGGTTCGTTGAGTTGGTCGGTCGGTCGGTTGGTTGCCCGGTTGGTTGGTGGGCTGGATCGTTGGTTTTCGTTGGTTGGTCAATTGGTGGTTGGTTGGTCGGTTGGTCCGTTGGTTGGGTGGTTGGTTGCGGTTGGTTGGTTGGTCAGTTGGTCGGTTTTCCAATCGTATGGTTGATCGGTTGGTCGGGTGACTGGCGGCGCGACGCGTGCACGGCACGTCGCGTCCTGGTTTGGCTGGTTGGCCGGTTTCCCCGGTCGCCGGGCGGATTAAGTGGTCGGGTGGTTGGTTGGGTGGTCGATTGGTTGGCCTAGTCTTTCCCACTCTTTGCGTGGCAAAGCAAAGAGGGTGGAAACAGGTAGTTTTCACTGTGCTCGTTACCAGGCGGCGCCTGGGGGGTGGGGGAAGCAGGCAATTCTACTGTATTCGCCGCGTGGCAATGCGGCGGGACGTTTTTTTGGATCGCCCCGTGGCACCCCCTCAGGAGCGAGAAATCACGATGCGATTCTACTCGCCACGCGGCAACGTAGCGGGGCAGAGCATATGATTTTGCTCTTATTCGCAAAGTGGCAACACAGTGAGACGGAAGCAATACCGTGTCACTCTCTTTCGTCTCGTGGCAACGCCCTGGGACGAATCAATTCTATCTGCGTGTGCTACTCGCCTCGTGACAACGCAGCGGCGCGTCAAAAGCTCCTGTTCTACTCCTACTCGTCACGTATGAACGCCCGGGTGCGGAAGATATGCCAGTCCACTTTGCTCGTCACGTGGCAAGGCATGCGGGGCGAAACGATCCGATTATATTATGCTCTGCAAGTGGCAACGCGGCATGGCGAGAGCAAACCAACATTTTGTTTGATTCGCCAAGTTTAAGTCGGGCCTGTCCCCCTATTTTCGTTGAAAAATAAAAACCCAAATAGTCCAAAAACAGTCCCACAATAGTCTGGGGACTATTTTTGGAGTCTTTTTGGATTTTTTTGGGGTATTTTTGGGTATTTATTATTTTTCGTCGAAAATCCCCCTGTAGGGGGACACGCCCGACATAACGCCAAGTGGCAGCGCATGGGGGCTGAGACAAGTTACTGTTCTACTCTACCCGTTGCGTGGAAACGCCTGGGGAGGAACACACACTTTTCAGTCGGCGGCGCAGGGGAGCCTCGGGCGCGGTCGATCGGTGGAGGTGCCAATTGCGCGCCATGATAAGAATAATCCAACACAAACACACAATCACACACTCACGCACACACGCATGCACGCACGCACGCGCACACACACGCACGCACACGCACACCATTCATTTATATTCGCCATATGGCAACGCATCGGGGTGCCAAACGCTTTTGTTTTTTGTCTGCTCGTCACGTGGCAACGACTGGGGGTGGAGAAAAGATACGAAACCTCAGGCGCGGTCGGCAGGTGGAGGTGACAACTGGAACGAAACACGCACACTGTTCATTTATACTCGCCATATGGCAACGCATCGGGGTGCCAAACGCTTTTGTTTTTAGTCTGCTCGTCACGTGGCAACGACTGGGTGCGGAGAAAAGGTACGACGAAATCGTTATAGTCGTTGCGTTGCAACGCCCTGGCGGGTGCGGGGCCCCGCGCTGGGAGCGCGCTCAGTGTTCAACACATTCATTCATTTTACACCGTTCCTGTTTGGGATTGTCAAATCAATCATGATCGTCTTCAAGCTAGTGCCAGGTGGGACGCTCCGCCGACATTTGCGCCGGGTTTTCTTTCCCCCCGGGGCGTTGATTCATCGGCGGCGACGATAGGGGCGAATAGCCTAGGGGCGGGTATCACACGTATTCGCCCGGGAGCCTTGTCGAAGACATAGATCATCGGCACCCCTGGATACATGTATTGCCGCCCCCCCCCCCCCCGGGCTGTTCGCCCCTATCGTCGCCTCCGAATTCAGTGCGTCGCTCCGCGGGGTGCCTCGGGGCAGCGCTGGAGGGGGGGGTCGGAGCGGTCGCCCTCGGGTGACCCGCGGCCCGGCCCTCCCGCAACATGTCCCTTTCAGCTAGGGGCGGACCAGCCTGGGCTTAAGTCGGGCACGTCCTTCTACAGGAGGAATATTCAAAAATAGTCAAAAGATAGTCTGGGGACGACTTTTTTGTTATCATTATGATTATCATTATTTTTCGTATTAGTACTGTTATATTTTCATTTTTTTGATGATTTTTTGAATATTCAAATGTTGTCGTCCAAAACTCGCCTGTAGGGGGACATGCTGGACCTAAAGCATGTCTCCTTCAGCTAGGGGCGGACAAGCCTACGCCTATAGGCCCCCCCGCGGGGCTCGAGGGGAAGGGCCCCCCGCCCCGCCCGTGTCGGGGAGGCGCAGGGCCTGGCGGACGCTGGCGGGGGAGGTCCGCGGAGGACTCTTCGTCGGAAGCAGGCGGGAGGACTCCCGGGCCTAGGAGGTTGACACCTGCTTGCGCTCCCGCCCTTCTCCCCTGCGTACGCTCCCGCCCTTCCTCCCCCCACAGTCCAGGCCCCCGCGGGCACCGGAGGCTCTCCCTTTGGCCCTGCTCCGCGCCGCGAGCCACCCGGCCTTGCGTGAACCCAGGCGTGATCTTCGGATTCACGTCGAATCATCGCAGGCCTAGAGGTTGACACCAACACCGATATCGGTGGTGTGCCTCTACCGAGGGGAGAAGATCCCGATTTCGGTGATGGTGGTAACATCCTGGCTCCCGAGGTGGCCGAAACAGTACCACCAACACCGAAATCTAGGATCATCTTCCCCCTGTGGAGGCAGCCCCCTGTGTTGGTGTTGGTGCCCAGTTCCAGGCCTCCCGAGGACATGCTGGTGGGCCTGGTGCGGGGCGGACCCGGGAGCGCCTGAAGGCCATGGTGTTCGTCCCCGGAAACGATGGGTCTGCCCTTGGAAGCAGGGGTTCTGGGTTTGGGGAGCACTGGTTCTGGGCCTGGAAGCAGTGGTTCTGGAGCCGAGGGCATGGGTTCCAGACCCGGCAGGGATGATTCTGGGCCTGGGCGCGATGAGGCTGGACCTGGAAGGGGGGCTCTTGGACTCTAAGGAGCAATGAGTCTGGACATGGAAGCAATGCTTCTAGACGTGGAAGCAATGGTTTTAGCTCTGGAAGCAATGGTTCCAGACGTGGAAGCACTGGTTTTGCACCTGGACGCCATGATTCCAGAGCTGGAGGCAATGACTTGGGACCTGGGGCGGCAGTTCTGTACTCGGAAGAATGTTTCGCAACCATGGGGCGTTGGTTTTTGGACCTGAGGGTGTAGATTCTGGAATTGGAAGCAATGATAGAGGACCGGGGGAATTATTTTGCACCTGGAAACGCTTGAACTGGAGCTGGGGGTATCAGTTTCTGGACTTGAGGGCAATGTGTCTGGACCTGGGGAAACATATTTTGGGCCCTGAAGAAACGATTCTGGATTTGAGGGCAATGAAAGATTCGTGCCTTCCCTCCCTCTCCCGTTTCCGGCACGCCCCCCCCCTCGCGCGTCCCCCCCTCTTTTGCCTTTTTCTATTTCTTTCCCCTGCCGCTGCCCCCCGCGTCTTTTTCTGCGCCCCCTCTCCCTCCCACACATCACTCGCCGGCCACCTCCCCATTCGTCTGCGCCCGTGGCCATTCAGGTTCTGGGCCGTCGCCGTATCCAGCGCCCAGGCCAACTTGCCCAACGCCTCGCCGAGAAAACGCGCGCGATAACTGATGCTGGCATTCTACATTTGGCACGCCACGGCCCTCGCTTCAACAGCGTGGGCCCGCGTTGCGGCGTCATCGACCACCACCGCCATTGCTGCATTACTCAGAATCTTTTTTCGCCAGTGTCGAAAAACGCCTCGCCAGCTGACCACCGTCGCCAGCGTCGCCGGCACCAGCCAACACTTCGGCAGCGATGGCCAACGCCACAAACGCCAACATGGCCGACCAGACCTCTATGAGCGCCGCCCACCGCCCCGCCAGCTGGCCGCCAGCTGGCCGCCAGCTGGCCGCCAGCTGGCTGCTGCTGACACCACGGGCGCTGCCCAGTCCTGTGGCAACGACGCCCATCGCCCCGCGAACCCGCGCCGCGACTCACGCTGCGCGCGTTGACCAGCAGCCCAGCCGCGTCGGCAGCAACCGCCGCCAGTGCCAGCGGCACCAGCCGGTCCCCCAGCAGCGTCGACGCGCACCCCCGCCCGCGCGTGCCGCTAGCACCGCCCAGCAGCCTCTCAATGCAGAACGAGCCGGGGATCCCCTAATTAGGCAGTTCCGATCGCCCAACGGAAAGGCCTCTGGGCGGGTCGGGTGAGCCAGCCGCGCGGGGCCGGCAGAAATTGGCTGCGCCTCGCGTGCCGCATGCCGGACCACCGCGATTACAAAAAATGCATTCGTTATTTTTTGGGGCCTTTCGTCAGAACGCAAGCGTATTTCCCGACCCCGGCTTCTGAGCGGCCAGCCTATTCCGGCGCCCCGGCGCTCTCCCGCTGCACCCTCGTAGGTGCCTCGACGCGGGCTCTTGTCTTGTCTTGTCTTCGTCAGAACGCAAGCGTTCAGCGTTGGGGTCGCGCTTTCGAGCTTCGACGCATCGCCCCAGTTGCGCGCGGCGCGCGGGAGATGCCCAGACGTCCGCTTCCAGGACGACGTTGGCCTTGGCGCCCGGGTGGTCGGGGCGGGCCCCCCCCCTGCGCCAGCGCCGAGCACCCGCGTTCCGCCGTCCGGCGCCCAGGTCGCCCGCGGCAGCTCTCGTGCCCGATCTTCGAGGTGGGGTTGCGAGCGGCGTGAGCAGCAGATTTCAAGAGGAAAAAAAGCACACAGACACAATTAAGCGTCGAGTCCCAGGAAAAGATGGGAAAATATGGGAAGTGGTGGGGAACACAAAAAAACCCCGAAGATAAGGGAAAATATATGGGAATCTTTCTATTTGTGTGTGTATTTATTTGTGTGTCCTGGGGCCCCTTCAAGATTGGAGTACCTGTCTTCGCTGATGCATCTGGCTGCGCCTGTGGGGTTGCTGTCGGGGCGCCGCGCGGGGCCCCGCGGCGCGCGCGCCGCGCGGGGCCCCGCGGGGGGTCGTGCGGAGGGGCGTCCCCGCGCGACGACCCGGACCGCGCGTCGGCCCGCGCAGTGCTCGAGCAAAGAAGTCTACGTTTTTTTTTTTTTTTTTTTGTTGTTGTTTTTTTTGTGTTTTTTTTTTTGCGCCGTTCGGCCCCGCTCAGTGCAGGCAGGAAGCTTGCCAGAAGGTGGCGTCCGTGGCGCTCGCGCTTCCAGGCTGGGCGCCTTCTCTCCTCCCTCCCTCCCTCCCTCCCCCTTTCCCTCGATGGCGATGCTGCTTACGATGATGGTGGTGATGGAGATGATAAGTGTAGTTCTGATGATGTTGGTTCATATGAATGTGATTATGATGATGTTGCTGCTGCTGCTGCTGCTGCTGATGATGATGATGATGATGATGATGATGATGATGATGATGATGATGATGATGATAACGGTGATTGACACGGCGACGACAATGGTCACGACGATGGTGATGACGGTGATGCTGTCATGGTATGGTGATTTTTCGGAGGGAGAAAACCAGGAGGAGGAACACAAACATCCCTTGCGCATGCTGTGCCTCCATCCTCCCCCCCCGCCGCTTCCTCCCCCTCCCCCGCCCTCTTCCGCTCCCCCTCCCATCCCCTTCCCCCTCCCATTCCCCCTTGTCCCTGCTCCTCCGCCTCCTCCACCTCCTCCTTCCTCTTCCTTCCTCCCCATTTCCTCTTCCTTCTTCCTCATTTTCCATTTGAGCGGCGACGCTTTTCGGACCGCGGGGCCCACTTTGCTGGGCACATGCCAGGGCTTTCCTGCGCGAGTGCGGTGTACCGCTCTCGCTGGGCAGCCGAAAGTCACGCGTGCAGCGGTCAGCATCTCACACGTGCTGCCTGCTCCGACGAGAGGGGTATCAGTGGACTGGCGCGCCCAGATCGAGGGTGGCGTTCGGAAAATCTGGAGCGTGTGGGTGGCGGGACGCCAGGAGGATTCTGGGGCAACGTTCGGGGGGGATGGGCTCGGGGGGGACGTGTCGACCCAGCATCGCCCATGGATCGCCGATGGGGGGCCCGACAGCCCACCCGCCCAGGCCCGCGCGAATGCGCTATCGGGGGCCTATCGTTAGTTAATCCATCGACGACGTATCGCCGATTCCAGGTCTACGTATGTCCCCTCTCAGCCAGCCCCCGGGGGTCTTCGGGTCATAGCTCGGGCCTCCGGCGGCCGTTCGGGCCGATCCGGGAACCCTTGGGGCGCTCTCGGCGAGGCGCAGCTGCTGGAGATCATCCCGAGGCTGGCAAACCGTCGACAGCCGACGAAGGCGTTAGGAACCTCGAAGTTCGAGCCTCGAAACTCGAACGCCCCCCCTTCTCCTTGTCCCTATCGTTGCCCTTCGGTGATGTGGGGGGGGGCGTCGCCTCAGTCCGGGGCTGCGCCCCCACGGAATCTCGTCACCATCCCTCTTTCTCCTCGGCATGGGCGGCGGCGCTCTTGCGGGTCTTCGCGCGGGCCCGATCCGCAGCAGGACTACGCGCTGTTCTTCTGGACCCGCTTCAACCAGGAGCGAGACAGGTGCTTCTGCGGTGAGCAGGATTATGGGCACGGCGGCAGGGAGGACGGGAAGAAGCCTGTGCAGGAGGATGACATGGTCGTGAGGCAAGTCTCGAGATTCGGGCGTTGCCACGTTTTCGCAACGGGCGTCTTCGCCCGGCTTCGGGCCCCTGGACCATGACAAATCGGTCTGGCTCGAATAATGACGCATCAATATTGTGCCCAGGGCTCTCGTTCTGTTTTTGGCAGTGTTGTACTTTTTGCTGCAACGTCGGATGCCAGGTAAGAACATCAGATCTGCAGGTGAAGGGCAGCAGGGAATGACGCAGGGAGCAGAATGTCGACCTACCTCAAAGACCACCCTTCGGGTGTCAAGGAGGTTGGGGGCGGTGTGTGAGTGTGTGTGTGTGTGTGTGTGTGCGTGCGTGCGTGCGTGCGTTCGTGCGTGCGTGCGAGCGTGCGTGCGTGCGTGCGTGCGTGCGTGTGCGCGTGTGTGTGTGTGTGTGTGTGTGTGTGTGTGTGTGTTTGCGCGTGCGTGCGTGCGTGCGTGTGTGCGTCAGTGTGTGATTGTGTATGTATGTCTGTGTGTGTGTGTTTGTGTTGGATTATTTTATCATGGCGCTTTCGACAAAGTTCGTTCGCAATAGGCACCTCCACCTGCCGGCCGTCCTGAGGCTCCTCTGCGCCGCCGACTTACAAGTGTGTGTATGTGGAGGCAGTCTGTATTTCGATTTGAATTTCGATTGTATTTGAATGCGCATTTCGATATTCATTTTGACTGTCGTTCCGGTTCCGACCTGAGGTGCCGCGTCGTTTATTGTGATTTACAGGTCGATTTGGTTTTCCTTTGTATCCAGATTTTATCGATTCTCATGCTGATTTGTATTTCGAAGTGCGGTTCGATTTGCATTCGGATGGTCACATACACATTTTCATTGCGTTCGCACTTTGACTGAACTTAGTTCCGCAGTCATTTTTGCATGCAGTTTTGCAAGCCGATCGTAATTCGAGTTGGGTGTTTGGTGCTTTGGGATCTCCGTGCCGATGTCGATGGCAGTTTGCTTGCATGCCGATTTGCGTTCCGATGGGCCCTTTCGGTTTGCATGGCGTGTCGGTTTGCATTCCGGTGTGTATTCCTGTTTGTTTTTTTTGGCATGGGTCTCGTTTGACATTTCGATTTGCACGTTGTGTGCAAGTGGATTTTTAGTAGTAATAGTAGTAGTAGTAGTAGTAGTAGTAGTAGTAGTAGTAGTAGTAGTAGTAGTAGTAGTAGTAGTAGTAGTAGTAGTAGTAGTAGTAGTAGTAGTAGTAGTAGTAGTAGTAGTAGTAGTAGTAGTAGTAGTAGTAGTAGTAGTAGTAGTAGTAGTAGTAGTAGTAGTAGTAGTAGTAGTAGTAGTAGTAGTAGTAGTAGTAGCAGTAGTAGTAGTAGTAGTAGTAGTAGTAGTAGTAGTAGTAGTAGTTTGAGTTTCGATCCGCGTCTCTCACGGGACAGCCACTGCGGAACAACCGCGGGGCCACCCGCAGAACCGCCGGGGGGCAGAGCCCACGGGACGACCCCTGGGACCAGCCGCGGGGCAGTCCGCGGGACCGCCGCCACCCACAGGACCGCCACGGCACGCCCCCCCCGCGGCAGCCCACGGGCAGGGGAAAACCTACGGGGCAACCCAACGGGACGCGCCGCGGGAGAGTCTGCGGGGCAGCCGCGACCCACGGGACCACCACGAGACGGCCCCTGGGGGCAAACCCCTCCCCCCCAGGACAGCCCACGAGAGGGTCCACGGGACAGCCGCGCGCGACAGCCCGCGGGGGGCAGCCCCGCGGCGGGCGGCGGACCCGCGCGCCGACGCCTCGAACGCTCGCTCCCGTGGCGTGCCCAAGAAAAGGGTCGAGCAGGATATCGGCTACAGAACTAACATAGAGTCTTTTTTTTTCGAGGGGTTGTTGACTATATATATATATATGTATATATATATATATAATTCGTATTGTCATACTTACCAGTATTATTTTTGTTATTGTTATTGTTATTGTTATTGTTGTGATTGTTGTTGTTGTTGTTGTGGTTGTTGTTGTTGTTGTTGTTCTTGTTGTTGTTCATATATTTGCTATTTTTTCACCAATTATTAGTATCGTTATATGTATATTTATTATTAATATTATTGTCATTCGTATGATTCGCAGTATTATGAATATTATTATCATTCTTATTTTCATTATTATTTATTTATTTATTTTATTATTATTATTATAATAATAATATCATTTTTATGTATAAATATGTTCTTAGTATTGTTCTTGTTAGTAATGCGATATCTAAAATAAGGAATGTGTGTGTATATATATACACATCTGCATGTGTATATTGTGTGTATGCATACATATGAGAAGCAATACAACATTCAAATGGGCCATAGCACGCGTTATGCCCCCTCCCCCTTCCCCCTCCCCCCTCGCACAGCGTAGCGCTCCCCCCCGCAGTGCGTCCCACCTGCATTGCCGCAGTGCGTCCAGCACCACAGTCTGGGGGGGGCGCTACGTTACACCCTCTCCCGTCCCCCGCTTCCTCTGCCCCAATAGCGCCCGTCAGGGCCGCGAGTGCGAAAATGCGTTTCCACCCCAAACATTGTCGTCGAATCTACCAACACCAATGTGTAGCACTCGTAGATTTGCGAGCGTTCTGCGTTTTTTTTTTTATTGTTTTTTTTTTTTTTGTTTTTTTTTTTTTGCAGGCTGCACGATAAAAAACAGTTCTGTTCGAAAGGGGAGAGCCTGGAGAGCAGCGGGGGCAGGAACGGCCACGGGCGGCGGGGGGACCCCCCCTAACTCTCCAGAAGCCTCCCTTGAGAGGGCGTTTGGAGGAGGGGGGGGGGGAGGGCGGGGGTGGACCCTCCCCTAACCCCCCCCGGAAGGGGGATTTTTGGGGGGTTCCCCAAAACCTTTTGATCGGGTTTGGAGGGGGGGAGGGCGGGGGTGGACCCTCCCCTAACCCCCCCCCCCGGAAGGGGGATTTTTTTGGGGTTCCTCATACCCTTTTGATCGGGCGGCGAGGAATGTGTACATAACCGCTGTCCTCTGGCCAGGCCCATCCCGAACCCAGGAGCTGTGCACACGCCTTCCTGGCCAGGTCGGGAGGGCCTGGCGTATACATCGCGGGTGGGTGCAGGCTGGGCCTGGCCAGGGAACAGTGGATATGTATACATGTCGTCGCCCTACTTGAAGGACCTCCGGCCCGCGCCCGCGCTTCCCTGTCTGTCTCCCTGCCCCCCCCCCCTGGAGACTTTTTTTTAGGGTCCGGCGATGCCCCGGGTTGTCGGGCTTGCCTCCCTCCCCTCCCCCCCCAGGATAACCTAACCGTGTCTGTTGTGCAGGTCCGGGGTGGGGGTCGCGGGCAAATGCAGGGCTGCCCACAGCGCGAAGGTTAGGTTATCGGCCGGCCCCCTCCTCCCCCCCGGTTAATCCGGGTTATCGCCGACAAAAAAAAGTCTCCTGGGGGGCCCAGTCTATCTGCTTCTAGGATAACAGTATCTCGGGCCTGGGCCGGATTCTCCAGGCCTCCCAGATGGGGTCGGAGCAGATGTGGTCGCAGGATAGCGCCGCATCGCCGATGCATCGTCGATGCGGCTCGATGTGGAGGCCGAGTTTCTTCACGCCCATGGCGCCGATGCATAGAAGTCGTCGCCGATGCATCGCCGATGCATCGCCGATACATCGCGGATGCATCGGCCCGATCTTCCGATTTCATCTACTCGGATCCCTTTTAGGAGGCGCCTCTAAATATTGTTCTTACGTTCTTGCCACAAGCGTCTGCGGACACATGGGGTGCCGTTACGTCCGTAGACGCATTCGGGGTGGAGACGTCTACAGACAACGCTGCCGTTGCGTTCGTCGCAGTACAAGGTCGGAGAAATAGGATCCGTCTACCGTATTTTCCTTGCCTAGGGCAGGTCCCACATGGTGCTCCAACCCCTCCCCCCTTTTGTACGTGGGCCAGACATGCGCATCGAGGCTGCTGCGCTCCTCAACACTTCGAACTTTTTCTTCTTATAGGGACGGACGCAAACGTGGAGGACGAATGCGAGAGGAGAGAAAGGAGGAGGAGGAAGCGGAGGAAGAGGAGGAGGAGGAGGAGGAGGAGGAGGAGGAGGAGGAGGAGGAGGAGGAGGAGGAGGAGGAGGAGGATGAGGAGTGCGAGAGGAGAGAAGCCTCCACGCGATGTCCCAGTCCAAAGGCTGCCGCCTCTGCCGCCGACCCCAGCGGAAGCCGTGGAGGTTTGTCCGCGTTGGCTCGGCGGCGAGCGAGGGGGGGAAGTGAGGAGGAGCAGGCCTTCTCAGAAGGCGGTGGGGCTTTTCTGAGGCACCTGCGCCTTCTGAGGAGTTTCCTGTGCCTTCGGGGAAGGCTTAGAACGCTTCTCGGAAGGCTTCGGGACTCCCGAGCCCTCTGAGAAGGCCCACTCCCTCCCGCTTCCCCCCGATGATCCTCAGGACGTGTTCTAGAGGATCATCGATCCCCGCCGGGCTGGCCGCCGGATTGGCGGGTAGGCTTCTCGAAAGCTGGGCGAGGGCTGCTAAAACCGTGGCTGCTAAAACGGACCTCCCGGAAGGAGAAAACACCTTCCCGGAATGAGGCGCGGCGCGCGAAACAGTCAACGGGCTTCTTCCCGGAAGGAAGAAGACATTTTCCCGGAGGCCGATTCTGGCAGCCACGGATTTCGCAGCCCCTGCCCGGCTTCCGAGCTTCGGTCTGGGCGGCCGGTTTGTTTGCTCGGATGGCCACCACCCACCAAACCACCCCAACCCAACCCGAAGGCTCAGATTTACCCTCGATTTCTAGTTGGGGGGGGTCGGGGAACGTTGACAAAAACACATATGGAGCCCATACCCCCCCAACCCGAAATTCGGGTCTTCGGGTTGGGTTGGGGTTGTCTGGTAGGTAGTCAGATGGCCAGCTGGTCGGCTGCGCTCTCCGGGGTCCAGCCCACCAGCGGCCACGACCTCCACGCCGCGCCCGGCTTGCCGGGCAAGGGCGGGCCCTTCGCGCTGCATGCTGCAGCTTCGGGGGCCCTCGCCTGCTCCCCCGACTTTTTGCGTGCCTTGGCCTGTGCCCAGCGCGGGCTCGGTGCGGACTCGACGCGGATCTGGCGTGGGCCCGACGCGGCTTCGACGCGGCTTCGGCGCCGATTCGACGAGTCCGACGCGGATTGGGCACGGATTCGACGCGGATAGGGACGCGACGGGACAGTTAAGGTCCCCCGAATATGCAACAGAAGGCTCTCCGACGCGACTCCGTCCCTCCGCGCCGCTTTGCCTCCCTCTGCCAGGACTACATGGGCTCCTCCTCCTCCTCCTCCTCCTCCTCCTCCTCCTCCTCCTCTCCTCCTCCTCTCCTCCCCCCCTCCCCCCCCCCTCCCCCTCCTCCTTCTCCTCCTCCTCCTCTCCCCCTTCTCCTCCTTCCTCCTCCTC